CTACTCTAAGAGCTTCCCCATTAACTTGAAAAAATATCTTCACAGACTATCGGCCATTAGAAAGGAATTCGTAACTCGATTTACATTTAGGCGAAAAAGAGATTTTGCAAAAAAAAGAAAGTATGTTTATATATAAGCAAATATTATCGCTTTATCGACATTTCCGACAGAGAAAATAAGATAGAATGAATTACATAAAGTAGTAATATACGCACGCGTTCCTATATTTTTATTATATTCAACATTTATATTTTAAATTCCATAACTTGTCACTGAAAATTATAATGACAGGCAACATTGCGAGATAAGAAGCTCCCAGACGCATAAAATAAAACGTCAGCGCGAAAATTTTACATTTTCATAATCGGCAAATCAAACATTCGCCGTCATTAAATTATTGTCGTAAAATATGTAAAGTACAACGCTGAAAATAAAAATCACGCTACCAGTTTTATCGAAGGGCGAGATTTATCGCACCCTCCGCTATTATTTATGTATTTACCGTTGATATCGATACCTGCAATTAATATTATTAAAACGCTTAAGGATTTTCTCAATGCACGCTCATATCACGTAAAAAGGCCATAAATTTGCGATGAATAATTTATTCCTTCCCGGTATATGCTCGGCGGGGACAGTAATTATTACAATTGCATTTCAACTCGCGCGAACAATTAATCATCGTCGGCCTGTCCATGTGACTGTCACCGTCGGAAAATCGATGATCGTTTCACACGTTAATCCAAAAGCCAACTATCGACTGATGTCAATTGTCGCTGATTGACGTATATACGTGCCGATTAAAAAATATAGAACTGAATCAAAAAGAAAAGTTACCTTTAATTTTATTCTATTTATATTTAAGAAAAATTACAACTGCGTTTTTGAATTTTATATTTCTTGCTAATCATAATTTAGATATTTCTTGTTAATCATAATAAAATAATAATAAAAATTCTAGTAAACAATAATAAAATTTTAATAATCTTAAGTTATTTTTCTGGAAAAAAAATTCGTTTCTATAATCATTAATAGAAATATCCTCATCTTACGTAAAATGCATAAAAGGTATCTGAGATCTTTTGATATTTAATTTTTATCATATTTTTTATATCATATTTTTTCGAATATTTTTCTTTCTCGTTCCCTTCGTTTCCTCCCCCTTCTTTTCTTCGATCAAAATGATTTTTCAATAGAATTTTTCTGTAATATCCGATTAAAATTTCTCAGATACAATATTCAATTCTATTAAAATTTTTATTAAGAAATTTTTTAATTTAAAATTAAATGATTCATTCATCCAAGATTTGCATACAGGTTCGTATACACATTCCTAGTATAATTTTAGTAATATAATTGTTATAGTAATGATGATGTTTCGCTGTCTCAATGGTCATTTCCATTTGACAGCGGCAATCGATGGCCGCAGAATCGCGCTAATTAGTGCGGCCGCGACGCGGGCCGTCCGTTCGTAACGCGATATGGATAACTATCTGGCGACCGGACGTTGATGCGGGGTTTGGGTGGGTGGCGGGCACGGGGTACATCGTGCAATACGCGGGCCCCGACACGTGCACACACCCCGTTTATAGCGCGCTAGTTAAATTTCGATACGCCGTTACGCGCGGCTCGGGATAGATGAAACATGATGTTGTCGTTGCGTCGCCGCGCGCGGGCATAACGCGCGACAAATATTCCGCAAATAAAAGCCGGCATTCCACCCCCGCCTGCCCACCTCCGTCCCCCGGTCCGCTGCCTCCCCCGCTATCCCCTCATTATTTACGAAACGTCGCGCGGGGGTGGCGCGCGCGGCTGCCGGCAATTTTTAACAAGTCGAGCCGTGTATCCCACGGACGATGGCCCCCATGCGGGGGGACGCGAGGAACGGGGGGGAGGTCGATGTATTCGAAGCGCGTTTTATTTCGTTGCCACGCGCATGTGCGCTCTGTCTCTCTTTTTTTTTCTCGTTTTTCTTTTTTTTGCGCTTGTTTTACGCCACCGCTCGATTTTTTTTTTCATCCTTTTTGGTCGACGCTGGATTGCTCGGCAACTACCAATCAGGATCATCTGACAGGAAATACCCCGCGCACCCGCCACTTGTGTCCGCGGCATCCCCGCCGTCCTTCCGCCTCTCATTTTTGCTTCTCTTCGTCTCTCCCTTGTCCCCCGCCCCCGCCCCCCTGTTCTGCCGCCGCCGCCGCCGCCGCCATCGCCATACGTTCACTGACCAATTTGTTCGATAAAAGCCCTCGACTGATTGGCCTGACAACGCGGCCACGGCTCTTTTTTCCGAGCGCGAAATTTACCGTGATAACCAAGTCTCTTGTTGCACCCCCTTCCCTTCCCTCCACCCTCTCTCATTTCTAAACCCTTTGCTTTTCAACTTCCTCCGCCGTCGCTTAGTGTCCCTTTCTTCGTCTTTCCCTTCTTTGTATTTTCCAGACAGCTCTGTGATTCGTGGCAAGGTTTGCGAATTAGTTGGCAGCGATGCAGTTTTTCTTCTTTTATAGGCAAGAGATGAAAAGAGATGCATCTTTAGATCTTTTCTCTTTTTATTCAGGAAAAATCATTGAAAAATTAATTAAAAAATTGTAAAGTTATTTTATTAGATAAAATGTAGTGCGAAATAATTAATATGAAGAAAATCAACATTTTTTATTAAAAATTGTTTATACTTGATTAAAGAGATTCTGTTGTATTGTGTAAATGTATTTTTGATTTATGTGTTAAATATAGTAAAAGATTATCGATCGAAATTTTAATCAAAACAGAAGAAGACAAAAATTTTGAACATCTTATTTATGCGAGATTAAATATAGATAAATGCCTGATTTGAAACAATTGATATCTCATTTTATGATATTAAATCCTTATAATATTTTACGTTACATGCATACACACACACACACACATATATTTCTTTTAAATTGGAGAAGCCATATTCAAAATCACGAGCATGCGAATATCATCATATTATCGGGATCATAAAATTTGAGTAGTCGGCCAATATGGTTTAGTGGAACGGTACATTAGACACGTAAACATGTACTATCTGCTCATCGTAACGGCAATCTGTCTTTCGATGTTGCCTCTCACTTTCGAGTTAATAGCTGGTAATAGCCGTCGAGAGCTAACATAACACGACCTCCCACGCATGAGTTACCGTCGATCGACGATATCATCCGACGCGATCCACTCACCCATGTAAAGGATTTCGATTTTGCGCAATACGCATTTTCCCTCGATAAATTTCAATATATCTTTTTTTTTACGAAGATTTAAGAGATTGCGAAGTCATTAATCAATGTCATTTGATATTTTGTGTTACTAATCGAATCGGGAATTAAATTTTGCAAATTAAATTTTTTAGTAAATCCTACTGGATATTTCCTGAAAGGAATAAATTCATTATCTGTTTACATTCGTAGACATTATTTAATTCCCCGACAGATCAAGAAAATCGATAATTAAGAGTCGCTTTAAATTCTTATTAGGAGATTCGTGATCGATTATGAATATTTCTTTTAATCGATCTTTTGACGCTATCTTTCTTCTATCTTTTTTCTTGCGCTATCATGCTCACTGTTTGTTACTGATCTACGATCAGTGATAAAATCGTAATCGACATATATTTTTCAGGGATTGGCATCGCGTCACTGCCGACTTAGAAAAAAGAGATTTATGATTATTATCGATCGTTGCGATTTTTATCAGCCATATCCTCAATTTCCTCGCAAATTATTATCAAATCATTAATTTATCGGGCATTAAAAAAAGATTAATGATTTTAACACGAAGGTCAAGTCGGGCTTTTTACAAAGACATCCGGTATAGAGTTTACAATCTTCGTGATTCTATTTTTGATTATGATAAAAATCGTGCGGCCTTCAAATTTGATTTGGAAATTCCCAGTTTTGAATATTAAATGCGTATCTCGCGTTTTCGTAATTAATATATGATATGTATCAAACATGTGTTCTCATCTCACAATCAAATAAAAATGATGAAAATTACTTTAATTATAATTAATTAATGTATCTTTTTCTTTATGTTGAAACATACAATATATTGTAAAGAAATTTACAGAAATATTATAAATATATAAAATTAAATTTTTTAATTTTATTATTTTTCTTTCGCAAAGGAAATTTAAAATTTCTGTAATATCTTTGTAATTGACCATCAAACATTTGCAATGCATTATTGATTTATGTGTTTTCGCTGTTTTCGCACTTTATATGTACTATTTCACTCAAAGGCTCATATAAATGATATCTTATCATAAAATAGCAGAATCAAACTTGCTTTGTTTTTTTATAGTGATGATAATTATTGCGATCTTTACGATAGATATCGCACAATTAATTGTTTGTCGTTCTTTGGCGATCATAATGATATTATTCAATTAATTACACGGATCAATATTTCGCCTTTGGTTGATAAGCGCAATTCGATCGGAATGATTTATGCATAGGAATGATGCAATTCGAATTCTGGCATGTCATATTTAGTCAGATTTATGATTCATGTTCAATAATTTTCAACATATCTTTTAAGACTTATTATTACTTTACCAAAAAATATCGTTATCTCATTAAAAGAATCCAGATAGACGTAAAGATGACATTATAAAGTTATTTTATATATATTATTATATTCACACACAAACGCATACAAATTTTAAATTATTCTTATAATAAAATAATTTAATTTTTTTAAATATTAATTAAACTAATATTTTATCAATGTTATCTTAAAGTTCTTATTAAATATATTTCAAACATCGCTTTTTCTTTTTAAATGTGATGAGATATGATTTCTTTTTAAAATTCAATATTCACGAAATTTCAATCTAATAACATTTTTTTTTACTTTCGCGAAATACATCCCTTCTTTTCATACCATAATTATTAAAAATTGCGTCAATATCGATGCATAACCAAGATTAAGATATTCCAATCGTCATTAATTAATCAGATTAATCATGTCAATTCACTCACCGGCTAAATCTGCAGGTAATCTGGGATACAACATGCCGGTCCGAGCGAACCACTCGAGCTGAAGTGGATGAATGTGATGCTGCTGAGGATGAGGCCCTCCGGATTGGGGATGACCGACTGGCTGACCCTCCTTATGTATCGAGTGGAAAGCGCTGCCGCCGGCTGGATGATAGTACAATCCTCCTGGATGGATAAGTGGTCCCGCGGGATGCAGTAGGAGGCCCTGATTTTGCCTGACCATCGCGCTTACGCCATAAGGCCCAGACGCAAGACTCTGATGGCCCAGGATGCCGTTACTGGACGGATCCTCCGAACCGGGAGATATAGGAGGACTGGAAGCGGCACTGCGGCTCGCGTTGCTTCCGGGGCTGGCGCTTCCGGTCCGCGTCGGATCGACGTCAACAGACGTGTCGTCCTCGACGTTCTCCAGCCGGTCGTTCCGGTAGTTGCTGGTCCCCGTTTCGGGCCTGAATTGGCCTCTTTGGATAGATACGCCGGATTCGCCGGTATGAAGACCAAGAACGGTCTCGCGACTGGCGGAATGTCTATCCCGAGCCTCCAGACTGGGCGACTCGGACTCATGATGCTGAACGAAAGGATTCAAGGGATTTCCCAAGGTTGTCCTTTGGTCTCCAGGGCATCTTATGGCGCTGGGGGATTCCCGTTCCTGAATGCTACTAAGATTCAGATTATCGGATTGGACCCCGTGACTTCTGGAGAACGCTTTCTGTCGATCGGCCGATGACTGTTCTATTTCATTCTGCTTCGTAGCACGACCGAGCAGCGCGTCGATGCAGAAGGATGTCTTGCCGATGGAGCTGCTGTGCTGATTGGACGAGCTGAGAATGTAATTTTGTGGCGAGGACGTTCTTCCGGGGGAGGTTTCCGACTCACGGCAACGATTTGTCGCTATTTCGTCGCTGAAACATTTTCTAGAAGGGTTCTCCGAGTCCTGAAAAAAAGCAGGACTCACGTGGTCCTTGGAGAAATGCTTTCCAGCGTCGTCGTGGTACCTGATTACTCTATCTTCTGACACGTCCGGTGATCTAGCGTCCACGAAACGCATTTCCTCGAGCGATCTCACTCGACTGTTCAGCGGCGATCTGGCATCCTCCGATCTAGGCGAAGATCCGGAATCCTGGAGTCTCTGTTGGAGATTGTAGAGGTGCCGTGGATGCTGATGCAAATCTTCCGAGACCATCTGCGCGTTGTAATGCATAGCTGCCATATCCTGCGATCACTGTAGATCTCTAACACATACTGATGAGATTATGTCTTTTTGATAGCAACACTAACCGAATATCCACTTGTAATCGATATAATAATCTCTCTATCGGCACTGTTTCGAACGAGTCATAGATCAAACCGTTTGAAAGATCAATGGCGGTTGAACGATAAAGACATACCGGAATGATTCTTAAAACAAACACTGATGCAAATGAACTCTAGTGACAACAAAGTCTTCATCCGATCATCTCTTAAACTGATCGGTTATTAGTGACATTTATCGCAGATGATGCATCTGCGTGCATTTCAACACAACGCTACAGTTTCGTAAATTATCACATGAATGTCATCGGAGCGATCGCTGACCGATTCATAGATCATCCGCACTCAATGATCGATAACCGTCTGTCGATCGGTCCCACGATTATATCACGATCTGTAACGAGGCCGACGACACGAGCAGGCGGCTCGGCGTCGCGTCGCAAAGTGACGTTGCGGATGACCGCGTGTCCACCGAAAAAGCTTCCCCACTAGACGGAATCGTTGCAGCTGGCTCTGACTACGCCCATCGTGGATCGGGCGTGTCCGAGAGCTACACCCACCGGATCCTTCGGCGAGAGTGAGACAGAGCGAGGCACTTCCGTCGGATGCGACGGGGATGGTGATGCCACCCTAGACGGCGAATTTCCCCCTCGACCAATCAGAAGTCGTTCGAGGCACCGACGTGAGACAGAGACGCACAGATGCTCGCCACGTGACCGTGGAAGTCGGAAGAAGAGGCAAATAGGCGTGAAGATGCGGCGAGGGTGCGAGCGGATGGACGATTCCGCGGCGTCTTCTTGGGGATTCTTGGTGCATCGCGCGGTGGGTACCGGAGACGGTATTGTAATCGATATTATCGCATCATTAATTTAACTGTGACTCAAGTCCGATGATTACCCACCGAGTCTGACTCGTGAAACTGTTCGGATGGAAGATGGCGGTGAAATTGGCCAAATTGTCACAATCAGACATTTCGTTTTCTCCCCGAGATCGTAATAATCTTCTTGTGTCACGTAATTTGCAATACGATAACTCGTAATGTGCGACTTTTTACTTGTAATCCGTTGTCATTGAATTTGTCTCTTTGACGATTTGTATATTATTAAGAAAATGAAGCAGAATTGAAGTCTCTTATGGAGGAGGAAATTATTATTATTGAATCGTACATCTTAAAAATGTGAAAATTAATACATTTCTTTTGTGCTATTTAATCAAACTTTTTTCTTGATTTTTCTTGATTCTCGAAATATATTTAGAAAAACAACCCTTCGAATTATTAAACTCAATTTAAAAAAAAACAACCCTTCGAATATTACATAAAATTCGATAATTATTAAAGACTTATTTTCTTTTTTTTTCCAAACCTTCTCATTTTATAAATTAATATATAATTTAAATTAATTTAATTTATATATTAATTAATTTAATACATTTAATAACGTTTAATAAATAAATAACATTTAATATATCTTTAATTATATGATTTTTTTTATCACATTTATACCTTGAAACTTTAGTGTATGACTAATCTGATGTTTATGTATAAAATTCATGTTTTGAAATGTATGTAATAATGAAATATATATATATATATATATACATTTACAATATCTCAAAAATTTTTTATAATTTTGTATATATATATATATATATATATATATATATAGTCATCACATATATTTATAGTGTGCAATCGATTATCAAAATATATTATATATAGTCACATGAATCGTTGGGATTATTTGTATAGTCCATTATCTAAAAAGTGTGTAATCGATAGGGATCTTTCAGAGATATGTGTATTGGTGAACGTCCGTTACACAGATAGCAATAAAGTGTCAATACAATAAAGTATCATTATATCAATAATACATGTTACGTTATCAGGCACCTAATAGTCGCCTAATAGGTATCACACCCCGTTTGTAATCGTTTCCATTATCAGTTATTTCTCATATCGATTAAATATTTGGTTTCAGAGGGGTGACATAAGGCATCTAATGTCAAAATATATCTCTTTTGGTCAAAATATTCCATAGTCAAAATATTCTATGATTAGTAATGCGGTCGCTCTACTTTAACAATCAGGATACAAAAAATTAATTTATTATGAATTGAAATACTTATAATACATTATATAATTATATATTATATATAATTATATAATTATATATAGTAAAATTAAACACATAAAATATCCATCTTTTTACTTTCCGAAATTACATATTTGATTTTATAAAGTGTATTTCTATTCTATGAGTTTTACATGTATTCCAATGATGTAAATATAAATTTTAGATTATTACGCATTCAAAATTCTTTCATTTTTCTAATGGAAATAAAAATCATACAACTGCCCCCTTCTCATATTTCTCTTCCCTATTTCCACCTTCTTTCTTCCCTATTTCCATCTTTCGAATATTATTTTTATTCTTATTAGATGCCCAAATTTCTAATATACAATTATTATAATTGACATAGAACCATCAAAAATTGTTTGATGGCGCGAAAGTTAATAAGTTAATAGTAATGCGATATAAATATGCATCGAAGGCATCCGTATCGTGTCGCAGGCACTCGAGGCGTCTAACAGTCGAAAAATGATGGATCACCTGCTTCGTGGTTCTACCACGAATGACCACGGTGCCTGGAAGGTAAATGGTCCGCTCTCCTCGTTTGCCCGTATGTAGCCAAATAAGAGACGAAAGAATGTTTGCTTAAGGGTCGAGGCACGTCCAGCACACTCACGGGATACTCGTTTTCACTCGTCTCTCGATACGTTTCTACGTACTCCCGTAGTAATGCTATCGCGCGCATCACAGTGTCGTGGATACGCAAGTTGCTTCCTCGACAGGGCCGATTTCGAGATTTTATTGCGACAGTAATTTAACCCTCTTTTCTGAAAATTCAAAAAAACGAAAGTTCAAGTTTTTCCAAGTTTTTCAAAGAATGACCATCCTATTGCACGGACTCCATTTTACAAAATCTTTCTAGCTGAAATATAATTCCTATTAAATGTAAATGTCATTCCTATTAATGTTAACTAAATTTTTCACAAATCTCTTTTATCTTGCTTATTTTTATAAATAATAAACTAAGTACGCCAGTTAAAAGTGAGAGAAATGCAAATTTAGATGCTTAAAATTTAAGTGGCTACCGCAAAACATATTATTTTACGTGATATATGTCAATATTTTTTCAATCATACCTATATGTCATCGTGAAATTTATCGGATTATAATTTTATAAACTGTATTTTGAAATATTCTTCTCTCTCTCTTTCTCTCTATTTATCTATTTCTATCTCTTTCCATTTTCTCTTTTTATTATCGATAAACTTTAATGATACACGCAATTGCATTTCGAAATTATGTTATAATGTGAGTGATCCCTTATATAAATCTTTGAATGTGTATAGATTCTACGCCACTGACGACACATATCACGGCCATGCAGGTAGTAAACATATATGTATATCGTATTGTGGATCGCTGGCACGTACAAACAGGTAGCTTTCTGTCACTTTTGGTTACCGAGTAAACATCAAACGATTTTTAACCACCGATTATGCTCCGTCACGATAAGCAAAAGAACGTCTCCATTGTCCTCCGCCATATCTTCATTTCGATTGAACAAAACTCTGTTTAAAAATGCTCGTTAAAAACAAATTTTTGGAATCATGTATTAAAAACAATTATATATTGATAACCAGAAAATAATATTCTATCGCGAACAAATCGCATCTTATTAACGATAAATATAAATGTAAATGTATTATACGTGTATCATTAATTTACAGAATTTAATCATTAAAAATTATGTTGTAGCAAAAATTTAAATATTTTTTTCAAGTAAATCTTTTGTATAATTATTATAATTACTATAATATTAAAGTATAAATGGTAGATAATAAATTAATAATTTTTTTATAAAGAATAAATATATTTTTTTTTATAAGTGCAGACGAATCTTCACATTAAATCAATAAAAAATGTTTTTAACAGTATGTTGATAATGCAAAACGATAGTGTAATCCTGATAATTATTTCCCCACCAATAATGTTAATTAGCAGGCGATTGAGTTTGGCGGCTTTCTTGATAATCAAGAAGTCATGAGACGATTTAATTAATGGACATAGATATGAGAGTAAGAAAAGAGAGAGGAAAACATTGTATGTGCTTTGTGTCTCTTTGATGAAAGTAATTAACAATTTGATAATGCTTAATTCCCACGTCGCGCTTCTTATCCGTATGATAAGATTGCTGTTTCGATTAACAATCCTCGCTGATAAGTCCTAATTGATGTCGTGTATCGCTTATCACGAATCGTCTATATTTATGTAAATATCGTTAATTGCGCCTTATTCGATGTTTATCAGATTAATTTCAATTATTTCCTCGCTTACATGTGGCAAAAATGACATTACTTAGAACATTTTATACTTTTTTTTGTGTAACGCAAAAAATATGAGATGGGCGAAACAAAACTATCAGTTTTCCAGTAAAGAATCTTCTGAAACTTCTCCGATTATTTATTACTCGTATAATATCTTTACCAGCTGGTCTTTACTAGCTGATGTAATATAAAAGCAAAAATAGCATAAAAAGTTATTTAATATAGAGTATAAGAAAGATATATATTAACTTTATTTTGCCTTCTCTTTTATAATAATTAATTTTGTTTATTAATTTTTTGTATAAAAATTATTTAAATAGTTATGAAAAATTAATTATTATATAAAATTATGAAAAATTAATTATTATATAAACATATATAATATGTATATAATTCCATTGCGATTACATATTTTAAAGGCAATTGTTATATTTCTCTTAGAAAATTTAAAGTTACTTTGAATCCTTATCAAACTTTAATTTGACAACGATCAATTTGTTTAATGATGAGATATAATAATTATCATTTAGTATTGATAAACATATAAGTGATAATCTTGCAAATTGTACTGAATCTTCATTTCAATAAAATATTACATATAAAAAACTTTTCATAAATAAATTAAAATATTTTTTTATATTATAAAATTATTTTCCTCTAGTATGAGTAATAGAATATTGTTTCTCTACTATATCTGATAAAGTAAAGATATACGTATATCACTATAAATATCAGATAGATCGTAAATAACGATTTTATTGGTATAAATAGGTTTATGAAATATTTATTTTATTACATGATAAATAAGTCATCATTGTCATCAAATACATCTTTCCACTTTAGATTAAGGAGCGATAATAGCAAATAAAGCCATATAATCGATTTATAAGTTTTCTAATAATATAGTTACGTACGCAATTATCTCATCTTCTTGTATTATCGCTTTATCAATTTAGACATAAAAAAAACACTTACAGACACACAATTTGTTCAGTAATTGATAAAAATCATTAATTACAGAAATTTTATTATCTTTATTATCTTTATTTCTTTCCCCTTCTCATCCGCTTGTTTACGTATATTGTTTCATTACATCATTTGCATTATAAACTATGCTAATCCAAATTCTCGTTGCGTACTTAGAATAATCTTTCTTATTTTTATACATATTGAAATTTATGTAATAAAGATTTCATACAAGATATTCGCCGTTCATTTCTAGCTATCATTTTAAATGTGGAAATTAATCGCGCGATTTCAATAATCAGTTCGGAAGAACGATAAGTTTTTCACGATGTCGTCGGGCTCGGCACAATTACGCGAGTCCGCTCCGGAGGGTGCAATTATGCCGTTTAACGAATATCATGGCGTCTTTCGACTCGATAGACCACCCTCTCCGTATCCGGCGTTCGATCTCTTCTGCCCTTCACCAACCCCCTCCTTACGTACTCCACCAGGGAAGTCCTATTCCGTAATTAGAATCTCCCAGCCCCCTAGGAGGCCTCGCGACCGACTTCGCCCCCTCACCGGCCATTACTTTTAATGGCGTTGTTAATGAAACTAGGTGTCGCCAAATTAACCTCCCATTCCAGCTGTGCTCAACCGTAAACGAAAGCGCTGCTCGGAAAAACGCGTAATTAAATTTCTCTAATTATGCGCCGTGTGATTATCGCCGATAATTGACTGCTGCTTCATAAATTACTTTTGATAGACTTTTGATAAAATTGCAGAAGATCATGGGAAAAAGCTCTTAGAATTTTATAGTTATACTTCTTGCGGCTTTTTCATCGATTATTATTATTATACTGACATCATGATATAAATATCATAATATAAATTATTATTTAATAATTATTATTTAAGCAGAAGAAAGATTTTTATATATATTGTATATAATTGAAATAATCAAATTTTCTAAGACAAAAATTGTCTGAAAAAGCAAATGTCATATTTTAGACACAGCTTGCATAATCTTGAGCTTAGATTTATCCAAATTAAAAATAAGATCGATCATATAAACTTGATTTGAATATTCCAACATTATAATGACCAGAAATTTGCAAAACTAAAAAAAGAAAAAAAGAAAAGATAGAATTTTAATTATTGCAAAATCCTATTCTTTCTTGAATTTCTATTATTATAAAACACTAATCATAAATTGATTAAAATATGAGTTTTATAATGAAAAACAAATTTCACATTTGATTAACATTATATTTTCTTCCACTAGTTTCTTTCTTTCTTATTAATTAGATCCTTTAGAATTAATTTCTCACATTGCATTTGAATTTAATGAAATAATATTTTTTTCTCTTTAAGATACAAGATAATAATAAGAAAGTTTAAATATAGTTGTTATGCGACAAAATACATGAACCCTTTCAAGAAGAACTTTGCTTACGTATCCGATTGCAGCCCGAAGGAGAATGCAATCGGGAGGGCGACCAGGGAGGGTTTGAAAACCACTGGCCCGGGCTGATTATCGCGGTAACCACCCCCCGAGCGCCAATTAATCTTAACTTTTACGGGGCAAACACTTTTCATTAAGCCCGCCTCTCCCGCCGGCGTCGACGTTTCGTCGTCCCTTCCGTTGCCGCATCCCCTTCCCCATTTCTCGCAGCCTCAGCCACCCCCGCAAACCCTCTCCCCATTTTTCCTCACCCCGTTCTCCGTTTCCCGTCCCCGCTTCGCCGCTCATCCTCCTTCGGCCACGGCGAGGAACGGCAAGGAAAATGGCTCCCCAGACAAGCGTTTAATCTGGCTCTAATTAGCAACTTACCCTCCACCATTGCTCTCGCTTTCTCCCTCTTGCATCGTGATAAGTGCACTTCTCGCTCATTCTCCGTGACCAATCCCGTTCTCTTTCTCCTTCTGCCGAGGACAGGAGTGGATCTACATATCTTGGGCCCTAAAGTGGAAGGGTTAAAATATTCCTTCTCCTTTATCTTCCATCAATTAATCCTCGTCAAGATACCAACTTTTTCTCTCTTCTTGATTTTTTACTTCTTTTAAATTAATTTCTTGACTATTTGTATTTTATTAAAATTTCTAAAATATAGTCAAAATTAGAAAAATATTTCTCTCTTTTCCTAAGAGTTGAAATATACTTTATATGATGATAATAAAAAAAAGAAAAAAAAATAATTTGTTACTATTGGATGGATTATTGAATATAAATTAACTGGATATTTAAAAAAAATAAATCTTGAATCATAAAATTATCAAAAAATAATTAATCATAGTATTTTTTGTTATAATTATCAAAGGCGAATTCCAAACGTTTTCAGTTATCCTACGTAGGACATTTACGGATGAATGGATAGGTGGTGTTCATTCTTACAGATAGTCGATAACAAGAGGTAAGATTGAAATAAGGAAGTACATATCTATCATATGAAGTTAAAGAAATCTCTGTTATATCTATCAAACAAGCAGCGATATTTTAAATGTCTTTTAATAAAAATATTGTAATATTAAAAATATTATGAATAAATTAAACGCGATAACTAGCACAAATTATATTTATTATCGTAAAGCAAAGCTTGTTTGTCTATATTTATCGAGAAATCGATATAAAATTAAATTCTAATAATATGTTGTCAATTTATTATCAAAAATTGCAATTTTTGATATTTCTTTCTTTTCTCAAGTTTCTTAAATATATGAATATTCATGTGAAAGTTTGGCAAAATATGATTTGTTTGATGGATAGAATCTCAAAACAAATTTAATAAATTTTCATACATTACATTACATTTTATTAAAATAAATATTTTTTAAAAATATTTTTAAAATACAATATTTCTTGAATTTCCATGTAATATAAATAATTATTGTAAAAAACATCTCAATTCAATAATTTGTTATATTAATTCAAAAATATATATTTAAATAACAGATAATTTCAAATCAAATCATACTTTTCAGTTTTAATATGTATGGTAATAAATTATTTGCTATATGAATAACAATAACGAGGCTTACGAACAGCTTAAATGTTCTTCATATTATATATCCCATTCATTGCTACTAATCAATATTTCAACAACTTCGTCTTAGCAAAACAAACCGATCATTGAGTTACATTAATTATAACTTTTCATTATCACTTTTCAGCTTCGAGTATACTTTATCAAACTGTATCAAACATTATGTTTTTCATCACTTTCGAGAAAGTGCCCGTTGTTCAAGGATAACCAAGTACGATCGCAAAAGTTTTCAAAGGACGAGTCAAAACTTTGGGGATAACTGCATGTCATTCTCTCGCCTGTTCCTCTTCTTCTTCTTTTCCTGGGCGAAGCAACGCACAACCTTTAAAGGAACTGAGCTATCTCTTCTTCATTTAACTCATAACTTTATCGATCCAGGGTACGAATTTCTGGATATTGGTGTATACACCAGGTAAATGTTCGCGACCACAGCCGATGCCCCAAGAAACCAAACCGATCAAAACGTGTCTGCCTTCCACTGACATCGTAAGCGGTCCACCCGAATCACCCTATAACAAATTGACTTATACACATAACTGTATAATTCTATGTGTGTTTAGCTAATTATCTTATCAATATTAAACATGTATTTTTCTTCGATCATTCTGTATATCTTATCTTATTACTTGACAAGAGTCTCGTCCTCCTTCTTTATAACCTGCGCACAGGAATACATCGTGAATGGTCTCCCTTCTTCCAGCTGCTCTGAACCATTTCTGACATCTGTCATTCGGTATTACCTGAACAAAGATATACAACAATCATGTATAAATATATGTGTATATCTCTTTATATAACTTTTTTTTTACAGTAAACTTTTATCACAGAGCCTTTCATTCAATATATATTAATAATTTAAAATATATTATACATAATGTTTTATGTAAATCTTATGAATATATTAGTGTGTGAAACATTACTTAAAATTAAAAAAGAAAACTGTAGAAAAATATATTACTATAAATAATATTATTATATATGTTATACATGTATAATTCGCTTTCGAGGATGCGAGATAATTTGAATTTTATCATCAAAGGCAAATAGTCGGGCGAGAGTGTACTCACTTCGACGTCGACTTCTTGAAGAACGGATGGTGCCGAAGTTTGACCATGCCTGGTCCGTCCCCAACCAGCGACAGTTGCGGTTCTGCCGGAGAGCTTCAAATTCCTCGCCGGCAGGCAAACCGGGACAATGTGCTGCTTGAAAATTACCGTCCGAGACAGCTTAACCAAAGCCACGTCGTTCCGAAAGTCGGTAGCAGAATATTGTGGGTGTACCTATTATTATTATGATTTATAGCGTCATCAAGCGATCACCTTTTGTCTCGATGAGATTTTGTATAAAAGAAAGTATCTTGTATTTTTTTTTGCTTTTAAATATTCTTAAATTAATAAGACTTTAAAGATATCGATATTTCAAAATACGTAATACTTGAAGAAAAAATGATATATTTTTATATAAAGCAAAACCTCTTTTCTCTCGATGTTGAATTCCTCGTGAAGCTGTCCTTCCGATGCATCCCGAACATCCCACTCTCCAAGTCGAACTTTCAAATTATTATTGGGTGTCCTGGAACGCGAAATATGCATCGATCAATATTCTTATCATACCACTTACGATAGTAATGTCACGATACTAACGTCGCGACACAGTGAGCCGCGGTGACGACCCATCGATTGTTCAGCAAGGCACCGCCGCAAGATAGCTTCTTGTTAAGAAATCCTGACTTGATAATAGCGGCCTGTAACAGAGCAAACGTCGAGAGGTTCATTTAATAGTGCATTACATGAAATATGCATCCGAGGCCGCGTCACGGCTCGCGGAAAAGATTTAATAGATTATTATTCCCTCCTTCTCCCTCCCCCCCTCTCTCTCTCTTCTCCTCGCTAGACGCGCAAATTGATGGCTCGTTTCCGATGAATAATGCAGAGGAAAGGAAGAGTTAGGTGTCCTTCCGCGAGAGCTGTGCGAGAGATATTTATGGTGGCGACGAGGAGGAGGAAACTGAGAGAAGAACCTCACCTGCCACGGATGGCTGCCGAAACTGGACGAGTGGCCGCCGACAATCCTGTTGCTCCTGGTGTAGAGCTCGCCGCAGCCTGAAACAACGAGTCATCATTAATGTAAGTCGAAAATTAACGAAGGAGGAAGTGCCTGAGAGATAAATTGCGATAATGACATTATGTGACGCGAAGTGACGTCTCTCCGGGTGGGACGAAAGATTGCAGAGCTGCTATTTGTGTGATTCGCGTCGTGAAGGAAGAAAATGAAAATACGAGGTTTTATACCGAAAGGATAGTAAGCTTATACTGAAAATTTTTCAACTGATGCTTTCTACAGTTATATATTGCGTGCAATTAAATTACTCGCTATGTTGTTTGCGGCTTGAGAGACAGAAAGCAGAAAATAAATACGGCAAGTTATCATAAGTGTAGAAAGTTCACGCAACTTTAGAGAATATATCGCAATTTTATTACCGGGATGAAAAGATATTATTCAAGGTTAATTAACGCAAGATTTTCTTGACACGAAGAACCCTTGTAATATAAATAAGTGAATACAATTGCGTGAAAATAAAAATACAAATAAGACATACATACATGTGTAAATGTTTTGTATTTTTCTCGAATATTAAAATTCTCATCAATTTTTTATATTTCAATATTCCTTATCTTTATCTCATACTTCTATTTTATAGTTTACTTGAGAAAATCAGAAAACTACCTAATAACTATAATTATTTATTTTTCCATGTTCCCTTGTATAATCTTCTATTCGGTATTGTTTTTTATTTTTATTTAATATTGTTTTTCGCTTTTTCTATATTTCGTTTCTTTTGTCTTTTGTACAATCATGTTTCCATTTTCCAGCGCGTTCTCTCACATTTTTTCTTCACAAATCCAATTTTCCGATCGTTTTCTTTGTGCATTAGAATGTGCGATGTGACGGCGGAAATATTCATTCTCGTGCAGTTTCCGTGCAAAGGATTGCGTGCTTGTTTAGGTACTGTCTCGATCATGAAACTTTTCGATCGTTTAGATCATTATAGTTCGATAATTTATTTCTATGTTTTAATATTTATTTAGTAATATAAATGTAGTACCTTGTTCTGTTTTACAAAATTCGTCATAGTTTCGTCTCGTGTATTTCGTTGAAGCTATAATTCTGTACATTCGTCTCTGCACATTTAAAGTCCAACTATTCTCTTATCTTGATCACTGATAGATAGCATCTAATAATTTCTATTAGATCGCACAATAACATCTGTCTTCTAAATTTAATGTTTTTGCGATTATAATATAGTCGTTTTATCGATTATAATATAGTCGAGCGTATCCAAACTGATAATCAAGTGCGCCTAGAAGACCTTGGAAATTTTAATCCGCTGCAACGAGTATAATAAAAGCACAAAGTCGATCAGGCATTGGAACCGTATATTTTTTAATTGCATCCTCGATGAGTTCAGTTTTTCGTGTTACGCAGGGACAGCAAAAGTTTTGCGCCCAACAACCTCGGAAACGTCTGAACTCGTCGATTAATCGGTTTCATAAATCTCGACACATATCGTGCTCGACACATATCATGCAATATGCAACAGGTCTGCGTGTGCATTCTCGTGCGATTACCACGGTATCTAGAGTAGTCCACAGCAGCGTTGGAGGCTTCCTCAAACATCGACACGTGTATACCGGAAGCGTGGGACGGGTATCCACCGTTGTACTGGTCCTGCGAATAGTCCTGGATCGTGTGATGCGGTGGCCGGGAAGTGGTGTACGTAGGTCGATCGTGGCCGATCGCGAGATCGTTCGTCGGTCGATCGTGGTTCCAGATCGCGTAAGACGGACCGTAAGGATTCGTCGTCGGTTTGCTAAATGAGGGTCGATGGGATCCCCCCTGGCTGTGCGACGGCCTGCTGGGCCTAATCGCGTTCCCGTAAATGTTCACGTCGTCATCCACGTACGGCTGTTGGTGCCCGAGATTTATGGAAAACGCTGGGCAACGTAACGTTGTTGCTGTTAGCTACTCGGAATCACTCGCGTCGCGTTAAGTCCAGTAACATCGAGATTACGCAGGGTATATACAGGGTATATCTTCTCTACGAGAAGTTGCTGAAATTAATCAGCTGTTATTTTTAAACGCGTACAGAGAAAGTAAAATATTCTAATAAAGGATGTTTAAGAGTTTTATTTACATATAGACTAAAGATACTCGGAGATATTTTTATTATTTATAAAAATGTAAACAATTTTATAATGATATAATATATATTTTTGATCAAGCTCCTCTTGGAAACTATAGAGAATTTTTAAAGATATACTTTCGATATCTCTTATTGTCAAAATTGAAACAGATACCAAGTCAAAATTGAAGTTTTAAAGATTTATTTTCGATATCTTATCGTCAAAATTGAAACAAATACCAAGTCTTTTTCGTAATGAATGACATATCGGAAAAAAAATATATAAAATTTTTTAAAATATATCATTATTATATCATTGACATTCTTTTATAAATATTTATTAAATGATAAGAATATCTCCGATTATCCATATGCAAATAAAACTGTGAAATGTCCTTTATTAAAAGATACTTTTTCTGTAGTTTATGTACGTTTAAAAATGACAGCTGATTAATTTCTATAATTTCCCATGGGATATTCTGTATATACTTCAAAAATAATTAAGAATATATAATTGTCAATTTAATAGGCAGACGACATTTTATAATTCCAGGATTAAAAAGATCATAAATATGATTTTTCCCTCCACTTCTACTGTATAATATCCTCTCTTATAACAAAAGAGTGCGAGAAAAAGTAATTTATAATTATTCACATATTATAAACAATATAATAAAACACAGATGTGCAATAATTGCAATTGTTGTTGCTCCGTCGGTGACATTATTTCCTTGTGTTCCTAATCGCGCTATTGTATTGATGTTGGCGCGGTTACGGTGAGCGACTTGCGGCTTGAGAAAGCCGCGTAAGTTCTGCGAGCGCGTAACGCGTTTGCCGTCGCAAACTAGGTGTGAATAACTGTATTTGAAAGTGCCGACCATATACTCCGTAGGTGCTCGTTCGCGCGACTCTAGCTGGACGCTGCCGGTTGTATAATTTCGGATGTCACCGGATAGAAATCAGGTTACTTCCAGCCACACAGTGGTCTCCTTTCGATTAAACGTAGATAAATTAGATGTTCCCAACCTTCTCCCAATCTAATCAGGATTTAACCCTTTGACTTAATAGAAATAACGTTACACAACATTTCCCAGGACCCTAAATTATGGTCATGTATTCTTTTTACTTCGCTTCGTTTCTTTTTCAGATAATTACTTCGAATAAAGAAATCATGATTAGACCATTCACAGCGTAATCAAATTTAAATATGTTTACTGGGAATCTCGTTCTCTCTCAAACGAGTCGCGCTGAAAGCGTGATACAACCACGAGGTCTCGGTACAGAAAGTCTCGGTTTAGCGACATTCGAGGACAGGGACTCTCTTTGAGGATGTTGTAAATTTATAGAGCCACGACGATGAAAAAGACCTCGAGAATTAATTGAAGCATTGTTGGAATAAAAATTCTTCCGTGAGATAAAAACATACGGCGTTTCTTTCGCTTCTAAATGATAATACAAAGGACACACAATTTGCAAGTTTATCAATTAAAATCTACTCATTTTTGTAGAGATTATTTTTCGGTGGATGCTACCAGATATTCTCTCGGCTCTAAAAATGATCTGCAAAAATAACTTACTGGCATTCTGTAGCAAGCCGACGGTCGGTCGTATTTTCTCAGGTATATCGTCGTCGTCCACGCAGCAGCTCCATATTAAACCCCCGGAACAGAGGTCGACAGGTCGACCGCCGCCGAAAACGCAGCTAATACTAAGGCCGCACTCGAACTTTGCGCCTTTGTACTTGCACGTTTGCGGTATCACTGAAACAGATTGTGTTGGATTTCACATATAAATTTCACGTCTAAATATCTCCACGATGAATCGTTTTAATATCGATATAAATAGTTTTAATATTAAATGGTTTTAATATTAATATACCAGCGGAAGATTTTATCATGGGAAAAGATTTAGTTAGGATTTCCTTCAATAATGTAATAATGGAAAAGCAGCTAATTTCAATGTGAAAATCTGTCACGATATCAATGTGTTTCATCTCACGCAATTCCAGTTTTAATCGTGCTAATTACACCATTTTGCGTTGCGTTTTTCTTCAGAAGATTAGTGTCTATGAAGTTCACCTAAAAAAAACTCCACAACAAGTGCGTCATAAACTTTTGATTAACATGTTGTTATTATTAATTTACTTCAATAATAGAAAATCAGTGATATTCAATATCAAATTTTGTTTTATAAAATCTCGAAAGTATCATGTATAAGATGATGAATCACTTGTTTTGCTAATTTAGTATAATTTTATATATTTTATTTATTATTTTATTTTTTATATTTATCTATTTTATCTATATTTTACATCTCTCTTTACATTTTATTCATCAACCTATAGAGTTCACTCTCAGGATCGATATATGTTACTGAAAGCACTTTTAATCCTTTCGATAACACCAGCGGTAACATTATTTCCGTTTTATTTTTCGATTTTACAAACATACTTCTGCCCAGCATATCCATAAGGCCGCTCTGGAGATTGGAACCATGCCCTCGATGATCATTGGTGTGATTTCGCTTCTTCCTGAGTGTCTCCACCAGCAGAACACCTTGCTGCTGACTGGTAAGTTTCCTCCTTCTGCCCTGACGATGTCCATTCAACAGCTCTTCGAATTCTCCATTCAATTTCTTCCGTCTAATGTCATCTAGAAATTCCTGAACATTAACTTCTTCCTCCAGCTCGTCTTGTGGGTCTTTCTGGAATACATTCTGCCCGCTCCAATCTATTTCCTTCTCATCTTCTTTTGCGTTTTGATCCAGGAACTCTTGCTGAACGTCCTTGGAGAATATTGCATTCTGCGGATATTTCGCGTTCTCCAATATGGCGTCGGCAGCTTCATCGCCGTACGGAAAGTTCGAAAAATACTGATACTGCTCGACCTTATCCAAAGACGGTCTGCCGATCACGTTTTTCAAAGTGCTCTCAATGGCTCGATTTTCGCGCTTCACATCCTGTCTCGTCCTGACGGTACCGAGATTCCAGAGATTCTGCTCCTCCTCCGAATCCTCGGCAGCCGCGAATCTTCTCGGTGAATTTTGTAGAACGTCGCCCTTGAATGGATTCGATGGTCTCGATCTGTGAGTCGAATGTACACTAGATCGTTGCGAGCGAGCTTCTTTAACCTTGATTGATGAAACCGGTCGGCTCGTGGCCGCGATTTTGACATCCTCTCTGCGTTTCCACGAGTAGTTGTCATGATCGAGAGCGCCGGCTATGGTAATCAGAAGCATCCCGAGCACGATATTCATGGTCGATTGTAACTTTTGTTTATTATTTCATGGATATCTTGCACGTCATTGTCTCACTGCACACGAGAAAAATCAGAGGTAACGGAAGGATAATCCACGATAAGAATAATTCAAGAATGGTTCATTTCTTCGAACCATTGATGACGACTGACGAAGAAGAAGGATGTCAAGACAAAATCGAGTTTTTCCAAAATTATTCCAGGAGAAACTTGATTTAGTTGAGAGCTGTAAAGTCCCTTTCAAGCTTTGACTAGTTTAAATTTCACTGGCATAAACGGAGAAATTAATTGATTAGCGATTACGATTGATTACGATTTCTTTGACTCATCAACTTCTTGTTTTTCTTCCTCTTCCGAACAGTAACTTCCACCTCCTGTTCGATGATCAATTAATATTGATATCTTTTAAATAAATTTTAAATTTCAAGTACATTTAGTATGATTCAATCACTAATTAATTCTGAATTATAGATTCTTGATGACTATCTTATACGATAAAAGACTTGATTCACGTTTTTCTCACAAATCTCTAGCTTCATCGAAGGTTCCGATGAGATGCAATGTCTCGGACGAGCCTTACGATCCAATGTAGATTTTTTGCCATTTTGGTATCACTTATTCCTTTTGGAGTAACTTCGAATGCGTTGCAAATTTTTCTGTAAGTTTCAAGACGACAATTGACGGAGTTTTTTTTTTCAAAGAGTTTTCAAGGGTAATACGTGTTTGTGCGATCGAGAAACCGGTTCAAAGGTCTTGGAGGCTTTTTATGACACTTCACCGAGAAGTGGCGGAGAGGCCGTGACAATGCACGCCTTCTGCACGTGGACTAGCTCAAGCCGATGTCCCACGAGTCTCGATTCGGATCTAAGGAGGCGTCCGCTGCTTTCACCGGCATCAGCTTTCCCGCAACAGCAGTGTCGTTGGTCCCACATTGGTTCCCCACCTTGGCCATCGTCCGAATGCTTATTTTCCATTTCTTTCTTCTCTAAATTATTTTACCGCGGGTTTGTCGTACTCTCAATTGCGGGAAAAGATTTAAGCCACAATCGTTTCACGAGGGTGGAAAACAAGAATGGATTTTATCACCTTTTTAACAAATCCATTGTCAAATTTAAACTATTTTATGTTTTGTTTCTGTTATTGATATTTTTTTTTTAATACTAACAAAATATAATGAAGAGAGATTAAGTATCAAAAAATTGCATACTTTCCAATGTATTAATTTTATTTTTTTTTCATTGAAATTTAATAATTTTGTCAGTAACAATATATGTCATCTTGTTTAAAAAATAATTAAATAACATTTATTCTTTAATATTATCCTAGCATTCAAAGACCTGAATTAATAAAAATTTAAAAGTATTTTGCGAAATAATTCTTCATAAAAAATTGTATTTATTATATATATAAATAAAAGATATAAGATTATTTTCTATTCTATAGAAAATTTTCTATTATAAAGAAAAATGTTTTTGAGAAACCTGATTTCGATTGACTCTAGAATGACTATTTCCATCGAATAGATTTGACACACTGAAATGTTGTGACCCAATTTCATCGCATGGTTTCACTGAAAGTATTTTTATCTTTGAGAGTAAATTAACATACATTAACACGGAATATTTACTTTACTACCACACTACTATATTACTCATTAAGTTCAATTAAGAAAAAGTAAGATTAAAAGAATAATATCAGATAATATTTATATTATGATGCACATTAACTACCATTTAACAGAAATTAACTACAACTAGGTGCTTAAATTGTACTAGTTAAACCATGAAATTTCGTCGTTAAGTGAATTAATTAAAATTTCAGCAACTGCTACAGGAAAGGTAATTTAGTGAGACTATAAAGTAGCATTTCATTTTCAGTACAAAGAAAGATGTAAACCTAGTAAAGCGCGCTTTTAACGACAGAGACAAGATCCACTGAGGTCGCAGTGAAAACGAGAACTTCCGTGCGCTTCATTATAAATATTCTTGTAGAAAGTAAGCGTCAGTAAGTGGCCTTTCAAGTACGATTCCGATTTCGTCTCCCTTGTTAACTCAACTGTGAATTTTTCTCGTGTTCTCTTCAAATTTACGGTAGAAAATATTACTCGCAATCTCCTTTCGTGAGAAATGTCAAAATGATTACGCCAAATAAAATATTATTCAAAAAGAGAATCGTTTTCTCTCTTCAATGTTTTTTTAATTTTTTGAATATATAATCTTGCACGTAATAATAAATATTTGCTAATTTTACTATAATATTTGCTAAGTTTACTTTAATTATATAACAAAAAAAACGACGATGTATTTTTTATTTGGCACTAATTTGAATATAACTATTGCAAAATAGCGAAAAAACATTAAATTAATTATAAAATGAATTATAAAATGATATAGGTCATTGTCTTAATTTATAAATATACATATCCGGTGAACGTTAACCGGTTTGCCACCTTAAAATCTTTCCAATACCTATCAGTTTCTCGAGTTATCTTTATTGCTCGGAGATGTAAATGTATGAATTATTTTTTTTCACGTTATTTAATTATTATTCGAAATTATTTTTAGGGAAGAGAGGCAAAACCAAATATATCGTTTACCATTTTGACCGCATTGATATGTTACATAGAAAAGATAGGGATGTGGGAGGAGGTCAGACATATCTATATATTCATTTGGTCAACGAGTGCCAGAATCCATCTGTGGCAACAGCATTGACGCGTATCCTGTGAAGAGAGCATTCACACGAGAGCATTTTTCAGTCCAACGAATAATTACTAGAAAACAATATTCGTGGACTAGAAAAATATGTGAGATGCAAGTGGCTGGATCGAAAATCGAACCCAAGTCTTTCGTTTTCCGGACAATTGCTCTGGACCACTGAGCTATCCCGACCTCACACCTAATGTTGCTTTTTAACACAGTGATATGCGATTCCAGAGCGATGTTGGTATCTCGCTCAATGGATGCAATTGCCGATTGCCACGAAGGATCCCTGAAAGGTCGCTCGCTGACCAAATAAGTGACAGTGGAGGTATTCGCGCCCACTGCATGTTGACTTCCGACTGACCTTCCATAAGAAACGGTACCGACAAGCACAATCGTAGTGTCCACATCCCTCAAGATCCCTCTGAATAACAATATCCTCACTGCCAATAACAGTGGTGGACCCTAAATAGGGTGGTGGCAAGCTTTCATCGCGGCAACCCTATTCTTTTATGGCAATCATTCTTTAATTGTATTTAAATCATGCTTAAACATTGCGATAGCAATATCAAAGGCGCGAGTCCTCCATTCATTTTTTTAACTGACGTGGGAGAGATTCATTTATTATTCACAACGTACGAGCGGCCTTTCTCTTTCGAAACAATTCTTAAAATCCATTAAAGCCTACTTGCTTTAAAATTCATTTTAAAGCCTACTTTTAAAGCCTATTACATTCACGATAACGTAATTCACGATAATTTAAACAGGTAAGACCTCGCGGTGGCATACTTGAAGCAATATAATATATGTTACACTATATAAATATAATAATGTTATACTTACATCCAAGTTCATCGAAAAATCTCACTTGTCCATGTGAATCGATCGCATTTTCGAAATTTTCCTCTTTTTCCACCTGATCTAAAAAAAACATATTTAAATCAGTAAATCATTATTTTCATTGATACAACTGGAAATATAGTATAAATCTATTTACCAAAGTTTTTCAAAAATCGATTGTTCTTTCTGGTATTAGGAAGACAGCAGATATTAGCGATTAGAAGTAGCGTGATAAGTGCATCAGTTTTGAAAGCAACCATTTCTCTCCTCGGCCGTCAACGTGAATATGCGATCCACTGTCATTCGCCAATTATGTTCGATCGTTTTTGATCCGACATCGGATCATTTTGCCGTCTCTCCCTCGATTTCACTTTGAAATCAGAGTTTTCCGGCGCTTTTCTGTCTCGTCGCTGTTCCACTAAAAAAGCAAAAAATACTCAAATAAAAAAGAGCATCGTGCCTTTTTACACATTTTTTTTTACGCAGAGTGATCTGCTCGTTACAATTGGGCGAAATAAAATTTGTTTTACCGTCGCGTTAATCGAATGGCCGCGAGGAGTTCAAAGGGAAGCCAATAATACTCGGTGGACCTCGATGTGGAAAGTGATAATTGTTAGTCGGAACCGTGAAAAAAAATCCACCTAGCAAAAACATGATCAGATTTTGGGAGGAGTTCGTTTGTAAATTTTTTTTAATGCAACAATTTTTGTGAGTTTTTCGCATTATGTAATGTTTTATTTTGTTTTATTATTTTACAGGCTTATTTTATTTATAGAACTTTTAAATATATATATAGATTGCAAAATTTATATAAGTCCATTAATCTGTCCTACGCGCGTTTGGCACTTTTCCTATCCATTTTATTCTGGATTGTACGAAGATCACGTACTGGGTTATCTCGAGATGAAAATTAGATAATTGTTCCACGCAAAAGGTTTAATACGGAACTGAACTTGAGCATAATAACTTAAAATTGTGTCATTCTTTCACGCGAAATTCTTCACAAAATTATTTATTTATTCTATCTTACATGCCTTAAAATTAATAGCATATACATTTTATTTTTGTCTGTATTTTGGAATTATACAATCACGCTCGGATCATACAGTTGCATGCTGATATGCAGATTACGCGTGCGAATCTTTTTAACGTCAAAGATACGATATAAAAATATTAATTATGATGATCGCAACTAACGGACTTGCTCATCTCCGGTTTCCCTATCGATCTTGGCACCTGGGGACCTTTGTCGGTCGGTTCCTCGACAGCGTACCGTAAGCGCGAGTTCACGCTAGCGTGTCCAAGACGTTCACGTACAGTCCGAGACAAAAGTGGGACACGAAACCAGGCCACCGAGACAAGTGGCACGCCTTTTAGTGCTTCGTAATGTTCAGTCGGTCTACACCGACCGGAACCGGGCGCGCGCGCGCTCGGTGCTGTACCCCTCCTCCTCTTTCTTCTTGGGGTTATTAGTGAAAGTTAGCCGGTAACTTTCGACTTTGACAACGACGGCGATTCGCCATGGTGAACGCATCCGCAGTGTCCCCGCACTAGATTACATTTAAGAGCATCATTCTAGAAAAGTGTCTTTTAATCCATTTTTTTTACGAATTACGAGATATTTAATTATAAAAAAGAATATTGATCAAGAAACTTATAAATAAATATAAATATAACGTTTTTTATTACGATTAATTTCATGATCCTAGTTTTTTAACATTAATTAAATTTGTTAAAAGTATCAGATTTAAAAAACCTTTTATTTCGTGAAGATGTAACAGAAATTATGCTCGTGAGATATATTAATTTTTCGCGGCATATACCGGTTAAAAGGAGCTCGCTCCAATTTCGATAATGAATTTCGGCTAGTTCGCTTAAATGATACGCGGTAATTTGAAGACGAAGGAAAGAGTGAAATATCACTTTCAACCATCGTGCCGTGAATTACGAGTTAAAACTCGTACACGAACTTGCTATTGTTTTTGACTACTCTACTTTCTTCATGTTTTTCTTCCATCTAATAAATAAAACGTGTAGCAGTACGCGCGCATACCTAGTGTATTCACCTAGTCTTAATTTATGTCATTAATTAACACATTATTTTTAATAAAATATTTTATTAGAAAAATATACATTATTTAAGTAATTCAGACGTGCATAGATTCTTCACAAATTTTTGTACAAGAGTCCGAGCCGAGATTTTTATTTTTATTTAAATAAAAATTTTTATCTAAATAATTAATTAAAAATTTTTGTTTAAATAAAAATGCGAAAGGAAGAAAGATTTAATAAAATTTAATAAAAATTTTTAAATAATTTTAAATAATTAATTAAAAATTTAAATAAAAATGCGAAAAGAAGAAAAGATACAGTGAAGCGCGTGGAGAACTTTAATCTTTGTCATGAATGTCTCCAAGAGCATTTTCATGGACGAGCGGATAACTGCATGCATCGTTGCGCCGACAAGGACAGTTTTTCCGAATCAGTCCGATCACGTTCTAAAGAATTGAATGCACGTGCGACACGATGAGATCAACAACCTCACCTGGATTTCGATTAAGATCAAGGCCAACAATGTGTTTGAGATACCATCTGTGGAACACGATCTAACACTCTAGACAAGACGGGCGAAAGGGCTCGTGCTTTCTCCCCGATTCAATCGATTCTTTTTTATCACAGTTCGATGAGATAAATTTATCAATAATTCACGCTTGTGTTTTTCTGTTATAAATTTAAATATATATCACATACATTTATTATTATTGTTATTTTTTAAACTTAAAGAAGTTTCAAATCGCGAAATATTATAGTTTATAAAGAGGTAGAATATTTGTTTTACACAATGTATATAAATGCACACACACACACAATGTATTCTATACAATATTATTAAAATTGCACATGCATTTGAAAGCTCAATTACTTTAAAACGCGAGCTTTTTTTAAATAAATTCACTTCGCGGATATTTTTATTGCTACGAGGAAATCTTCTAACGTTACTTTGAGATCTAATTTGTTTGACATGTATGTGCCATGAGACACATGTATCACCGTTTATATCACGTTACAAGCCAATGAATAGAGCATCGCGACATGCGGTTGACTACTGATGAGGAACAGAAACATCAGCATCCGAGACCACTCTCTTTGGCCTGTCCTCACTCTCTCCTGATAGGCCTGAAGAGGCCCAAAGCGTTCCTTTTCTATGTACCAGTGAAATTATATCGAAGTGTAATAAAAGACTCTTATATCCGTTCTTTCCAGAATGTAAAAAAAAGATTTAGCGAAAACATCACTTTCCATCTAGCTGCTCTCCTGGCCCTATTTTTCTTTCATATAAAGTTTTTTTAAATCATTTTTTCTAACTAATTTGTTTCCTTATCTTTGTTCAATTTTTTCTTTTTTAATGATCTTATTGTAAAATTGTGAATATATATATTCGAGTTTTTAATTCGTGTACAATCATTTGTATGTTTATCTTATAGATCTCAAAGAACAATGTATGTTCCACAAACCTAACGCTACAATTTTAATTTAAATTACAAATTTTCTTGCATGCGTTTGACATGAATTCTTTCTTAGAGGGTGTAATTATGATAATACATATCGTACCGTATGATTCACTATCCGTGAGCTTAGTGATTCCGAAACTTACTTTCACAGAGAGCTACAATTGCGCGAGATAATTTGTTTTCTTCCGCGCGAGATTTCACTTCGAAATCTCGTTATCTCGTTGTACATTTTTTTCAATCGATACGCAATTTTTTGCAATTATTCGTTTACTAGATAAATACAAACCAGATTGAAGAAATAAACGAATAAAGAGAAAATCTTTTTATTTTAAAGAGTTTTAAAAAATTTTAGCTCTCTCCATCAATCATATCATGCATCTAGCAATAAAAGCATAATTACATCTTTGATGTCAACACGATAGAATCAATCGGATGCAAATGATACATGTATACTGTAATTTTTATTAAACCAGACTTTTATTTAATTATTTATTTAATTATTTATCGCTTGACAATTTATTTCAACCAGACTTTTATTTAATTATTTATCGTTTGACAATTTATTTCAATATACATGTCGATTATATGTCAAAATTTTCATCATATCTATATTTTATATATTTATATATCATTAAATCGCTCAAGACAAAGATACACGTATATTTTTCATTACTTTCAAATGAAGTGTCTATGCAACTCGCTATGTAACAACATGACATAATTCGTAATGAAAAGCCGCGCATATATTTACAAACGTCATTACCAAGATATTTTATGCAGGTATTCTATGCCATATTATGCTGCTTTTTCTATGTCATTCTCGCCATATTACGTCTTATAATTTTTATGCATTCAAATTTTGTATTCCGCACATATCTGTACGTGTGTGTGTGTTTTAGAACTGTGAATGAGAGAGATCTCGGGAGAGATAATATAAAGCTATTAATTATATATTTTGTGAAGAGTATTTACAAGTATAACGAATCGAGAAATCATCGATCGATTAATAAACGTCATATATAATAGTAATATATGTCAATTAAAATATTATTTTATAACTGAAATTAAAAGAACGTAAATTATGCATAAATATTTACTCGTGATGCAAATGACATTGATTAGTTTAATCACAAGATATCAATAATATATAAAGAGCGCGCTTTCTCTCTATGAACTGACTTGCAAGAAAATATTCGCGTAATTACATTATTAAATATGATAAATTATTTTATATTTATTATATTATTTATATCTATAATCAATTTATAATTATTATATAATTAATTATTAAAAATTATATAATTATCATAAAAGATAAAAGATAGATAACATTTTTATTTAAAAATAAATTATTTTATATTTACATAAGTTATTTAGAACGTATTTCATGCTCGTGCTTTCTTTCTATATAAAGAAATTAAATGGAGCGCGTTTTGAAATCATTCGTAATGTTCTAATTAATTTTAGTATATAAAAAAGATTTAACATGATATGATGAAAAATATTTAAATATCCATTTTTACGATAATATCGACTACAAGTCATGTGTTCTTTTCCACTTTTTCCTCATGTAAGATGGCAGCACGCATCTGTCAATACAGCCAGTGTCAAACAGCGTACCAATATGGCTACAGCTACAGCTGACTCCGAACGGCCAAATCTTGTGTACCTACAAAGTGATTCAATTAATCATTTTAAAGTTAAGGAATTAAATTTCTTCGTTGGTGATTATATTATACAAAAAAGTTATAGTGATGTCAATATCCATAAACAGCAATTATTGATCACATTCATGCTTTAATTGGAATATACTTTTTTGTATTCCATAAATATTGTGTTGTATCCAGAAGAAATTTGGAATACTTGGAGTTTATCGAAACATATCTGCAATGACTGATACAGAAAAACTCTTTGCTTGTTCCACATCAGGCTGCAATATGGTAAGTGACAGTTGTCTTGCGCTGAAAAAAAAAGTGACTTATTTTAGACTATTGAAACATTTAAGAAAACTATAATAATTGTAAGAATTAACACGATTCTTATTTCTCGTTTACAGAGTTTTACAAATGAGGATCAATTAATAGTGCATAAAAAGAAACATGACATGATGCTTAATCTTGGCAGTAATTCTAAAAGTAGTGGGTTTGTAGGTAAGCTATATTTGACAGCTTGATTTATTTATATTGTATTAGAAGTGAGTGGTATTGAAAGATTAATTTATGATGTAGCAGATCAAACTCCAACGCCGACGAGGTTCTTCAAAAATTGTGAGGAAGTTGGGTTATTTCAAGATCTTCAAGTTAATCCTTTTGAGGAGACATTTCGAAGAGCTGTTGAAACTGGAAATACAGGAACGCTTACAGTACCAGAGGTACAACAAGAAATGCATGTTTATCAAATATAATTCGTATATAAAAAATTTATAAAAATCACATTACTCCTTTTTATAGAAAAAAATCGATACCAGAAATACTTATGTGACATGGATTCATTTTTTGCAGGCTGGAATTACAGATGACACACTGCACACTCCGCATATTTTTCCTTATATATCAGATGTATTGCCTGCGAGTACTCAAATCCTTTCTGAAGACCATGTTGAAGATTGCCCTTCAACTGTATCTCTTATCGAAAAAAGTACAGAGGAGGACAATACTGTAAAGTCAGACGAATGTAACAGTATTAAAATAAGTACAAACGAGACGCAGGAATTGACCAAGGATTCGAATGATAACTCTGCAAAAAATAATATTCTCTCACCAAACATCGTTGTCTCAGATACAAATATACCCATAGGGCCTAAACTTTCGCCGATAGAACTTTCATCGCCTTTGTAAGAATTTCCTCTTGTTTTAAAATCTTTATGCATTTTATTGTAACACTTTTCTCATATTTTTGACTCATATATTTTCTCTTCCATTGTAGTATTTAAATTCTTTCTGTGATCAAAAACTCACGTGATTTTTATAGTTCTAGATAAATGATTTAAGAAAGAAAATAATAATAAATTTTATAACATATTTTATACGAGTCAATTATATGATATGTATCTTTTTTAATTCAAAAATCTTTAAAATTATTACGATGACATTTCGCTAACAAACCTAGGATTTTTTTGCAAAGGTCCATCAATGGTGAGGAGGTGCAACTGCTACTGAAAACGGCGGATGGTAAATTGATGCAACTATCTGCAACAGCGGTATCCGAATCTTCCAATATGACCAATATTAGTACCAGACAGCAAACCGTCGTCATCAAAACCGAACCAGCTTTGCGATGCGTAATGAAATCGGAATCCAAAAAAACTGTAATGTCCAGATTATCTTTGGCAAAAATGGTAACTTACATCAGATCACATCACAATACTAATTCGCATTTCAAAATGAATTTCTTAGAAATTGCATTGCAGAAACTGAAACAAACCTTATCTAAGAACACACAGAATCAAAAAGCGACAGAAGAAAGCGCGAAAATGGACGCAGTTCCTACATCGAAGAAAGAAAATGTTAAGAAAACTGATCAACTAAAGAAGAAAGATATTCTCGAGCGCAATCGTGCCAGTTCTATGCGTGCGCGGGCTAAAAGAAAGGCGTGGATTCAAGACCTTCAGAGAACAGTCACTAACGTAAACGAGGCGAATGCAGCCTTGCAAATGGAAGTGAAGGCTTTACGCTCGGAAGTGGCGAAACTGAAGACTCTTTTACTGGCACACAAAGATTGTCCGATCACGAAAGCGATGCAGAAAGGCAAGTTGTTAATTTAACATATTGCTTGAGTTCATACTATCGGTACTATTTTTTAAATTTTTCACATCGATAATTTGACACAATACTGAATAAATTATCGTCCAATTTAGCTCGATTTCGCAAGTTACTCTTTAAAATATTTTATCTAGATAAGTAGAGATAACAAGAAAACTTATTTAATTATAATTTTTAAGTAACAATTAGTAAATTTCAATTAGTCATAATTTTAATTAATTTTAATAATTAGGAAACGGGATAGTTCTTGGACCTAAAATAATATCAATTAATAATCCGGATGTGTTGACGATGCCGATATCAACCAATAATGTTCCTGTAAAGCGATCAGCCTCCTACACAGACAGTCCAAACACGCCGGTAAAAAAATCAACAGTATCAAAAAATCCAGTGATCTTCCCGAAAGTGGATTGCGGTACTACAAATCTCACACTTCCGAACGCGACGATCATAAAAAGTTTACCGGCATTGAAAATCGTGGGGGTTAATCAATTTTTACCGGAAAAGCCCGAAGAAACGAAGCAAATACTCATCGTGCAAAATCAACCACGAAAATTATGCGAGGCTAGGCAGGTCATTCAAATTAATCCGAATTACGAGGTGGAACACGCGGCGTCTAAAAGTACAGGAACGTAATTAATCGCTCTTGAAAACGTTTGTAATTGAAACTCTTAGCAAAGACTAGAGAATATCATTTAATCGAATGAATCGATTCTATGAACCATCAACTCTCGCGAATGGTAAAATGACATGTGTAAAAAATTAATTTAATTTTACACATTAATATTTATTTTTAACCTTTGTCATTTTTTTTACCTTCAAACAAGTCAATTGTCTTATCAAATTTTTACCATCAAATAATTTAACAAATATTTTTTTAAATGTAAAACATAGACTGATGTCACAGATTTATCCTTAATATGTAAACAGAGGAATAAGGAGTGATATAGGAGTTACCAGATTTTTGTATTATTTATTGTATTTACAATAAAACAGTCCTTTATTGAGAACTATGATTTATTTGATTCTCATCCTGATAAATCCTTTACACTATATATTATTTATAAAAATATGATTTAAAGTTATTTTAATAATATATATGAACACATATGCATATAGTTTCTAAGATATATATATATATATATATATATATATATATATATCAAATAAAATCAATAAATAATCTTTCATACATTGAATAATCATATATAAATCTGATTCTGTAAAAAATATATTTTTTATTCTTGATAATGAATTATCACCGTCAATCTAAAAATTTAAAAATTTATGGAAAATTAATAACTTATTAAATATACTTATTATTAAATATTCATCGATAAATATTAGTTTGATAGTTTGATGCTGTTCTTTCCATATGCTTTTGCCGGTTAGCAAATGATGTGATGTACCCAGTAGTAGTCCCACGATGATTCGGTGACCCTCGGGCCCTTATCAGTTCTCCGTCCAGTCGTCTAACAATTCTACACCGGACAGGAGAATGATAAGGGGCTTTGGGCACGCATTGCTTCAAACACAGGAAATAGCCATCGAAGGATAGAGAATTCCGCTCTGGAATGCGTCTCACGAGAAAATAGTGTCATATCTGAAAAAAAAATTCAAACAGTTGATTATATCGTTCATCGAAAATCTCGCAATAAAAAATGCGAAAGTAATTTTAATATTCATTCACAAGCAGTAAATTAATAATCGAAAACACGATTGCATGTGTTTTCCTATCTTACAAAAATCTAGAATTTATTATTGTAATTTGATGCATACGTGCATACAAGGGCGATAGAATAGTATAGTCCATTATCTTTGTTATCTAGCAACGGATATAAAAAAAACTAGAACGTGCCACGTAATATTAAGTCATCCTAAAATATCTTCTATATCTCGGCTTTCGAATAATCGCTTTCTTCCTTGTCGAGTCTCGTTTCGTATACATATATCTATCTGCCAACGTGATTAAATATATATTTGACCCGATTGTCGGGACACGTGTGTGTTGCCGCTGTGATCTTTAACAGACCAATATCTCGCATCGTATCAGGGGAACGAGGACCACAAACACGATTGTTTGGGACAATCGAACGCAGATAAACGTCACAAAGGACAAACGTCCCTCTCTCTCTCTCTCTCTTTCTTTCTCTCTAAACAAGATTTCCGTTCTCCTTTGGCGAATTGAGTGAGTCACGTTCGAGAGCACAACGGACCTTGTAAAGCATCCTTTAAGGCTGTCAGTTATTCGGTAAACTCTGTCAACCGCTTTCTTATGTCGATAACAGACGCTGATAACGACCAGCCGGGCACAGTACTCGCCCCTGTTCTCTTCGGGCTTCACTGATGCTTCCTTAACCTTCGTCCTCGGCGATGAGTCAATCCTGCTCGTGAGATGCCCGGAGAGAAAACCCAGCTATGGTGACGGCATGTGGCCCACAAATAAAAGACATTCTTTCATAGAGAGCACGCTATGGAAGTAGTTTTTGCAATGTATTAACGTAATCAAGTTTAGAAAATTAAATTACGTAATAACGAAGTGTGTAACCAGGAGAGACAAACGTCATGCATCTAATAAGGATTTTTTTTTCAAGACTCATTTAAATGAAAAGTGCACTTCAAATCAATGATATAAATACGAGATCTAGAAATATCCGTCTCCCTTTTTTACAACACTATCGCAGTTAGAAAATTAAATTACGCAATAACGAAGTTTAATCAGAAGAGACAAACGTCATGCATCTAATAAGAATTTTTTTCAAGATCCGTTTAAATGAAAAGTGCACTTCAAAGCAATGATATAAATTCGAGATCTAGAAATATCAGTTTCCCTTTTTTACAACGTTATCGCTGTTAGAAAATTAAATTACGTAATAACGAAGTGTAACCAGAAGAGACAAATGTCATGCATCTAATAAGGATTTTTGTTCAAGACACGTTTAAATGAAAAGTGCACTTCAAATCAATGATATAAATTCGATATCTAGAAATATCCGTCTCCCTTTTTTACAACATTATCGCAGTTAGAAAATTAAATTACGTAATAACGAAGTGTAATCAGAAGAGACAAACGTCATGCATTTATTAAGGATTTTTTCAAAACCCGTTTAAATGAAAAGTGCACTTCAAATCAATGATATAAATTCGAGATTTAGAAATATCCGTTTCCCTTTTTTACAACATTATCTCTATTAGAAAATTAAATTACGTAATAACGAAGTGTAATCAAAAGAAACAAACGTCATGTATTTAATAAGGATTTTTTCAAAACCCGTTTAAATGAAAAGTGCACTTCAAATCAATGATATAAATTCGAGATTTAGAAATATCCGTTTTCCTTTTTTACAACATTATCACTGTTAGAAAATTAAATTACGTAATAATGAAGTGTAAGCAGAAGAGACAAACGTCATCCATCTAATAAGGATTTTTTTCAAGACCCGTTAAATGAAAAGTACACTTCAAAGCAATGATACAAATTCGAGATCTATAAATATTCTTCTCCCTTTTCTACAACATTAGCGCTGTTAGAAAATTAAATTACGTAATAACGAAGAGTAAGCAAAAGAAACAAACGTCATGCATCTAATAAGGATTTTTTTTCCAAGACCCATTTAAATGAAAAGTGCACTTCAAATCAATGATAAAAATTCGAGATCTAGAAATATGCCTCTCTCTCTTCTACAACATTACCGTTGTTTTTATTCTAGGTCAAATAGTATTCTTATCAGTTCTCGAGCAAAGTTTCTCTATAAGCATTCAGATTCTCTTTCAAGTACGAAGGAGATAAAAGACGTTTTCTCCTGACAGATTTGTGACAGATAAATATGACAGATAACCGATTAAAATAAGCATGATAATTTAAGGCTCATCTAAGTACGATACGCCACTTTTGTCGACATTTCGCCGACTGATCCATTCATTTACGATGCTGAAACCTTGCTTACGGAACCGATAACGAGCAGATCGGATGAACGAACGAGTTCAAAGTTATCTCATGCAAGTTGCGTTCGATCCATTCGCAGAATTCTTGGCGTCGATTCGTCTTCTCGCCGACCCGCTCAATCGCCGCGCGTACGGAAATAGCATCGAGAAGAGCAGGTGCCCGATCTTACGGCCCTGTTTCGAGATCTCGTTGAACCGCGATGGCTATTATACAACACGCATGATCTCCCAACCTTGGACCGAAAGAACCTCTCTCGTTCCCGATCGTCGCAAACATACGATAATGAAGCGTCGAAAAACTTGAGTACGGATTTTACGTAATTTTCGCTTTTTAAGACCAATGTACATGTATTAGTTAAGTATTATATACATATATTAGTGCTGAAAATAAAAATTATATAATAGCGAGAATATCTGGAAATTATATCTCAACAGAGAGAATTACGAAAATAAATTACGAATTATGAAAATATCGATTCTCACTTAAATCATAATCGCTCGAAAAAGTGGTCTTGCAACAATTTTTTGGGTATGAAAAATTAATTGAGGTAGATAAATGATCAATAAATATTGTGTATTTATGTTTTACACTTAATTGATCTAAATGACAGAGATAGAATTTATGTTTGAACTGTTTGTGAAATTTAAAATATCTTTCTGTGATATTTATCTGTTAAGATTAATCGTATTTGTTATGAAGTTTGACGGTGGTATAAATAATAAATACATTTCTCACAAAGAATTTCTAGCTAAAGTATTGAAACTCATTTATCCAATGCAGTGATAAATATTTGTAATGAAACTTAAATTTGTTGAAAAATATTTCTAGAATTTGCTGTTATAAATTCTACACAAACAATGTTATATAGCAAACAATGTTATATATAAAAAATTAAAATATATTTTTATTTTAACCTTTAGAAATCTACCTGCATTAGCAAAACATTTTATGAATGATCCACAGGATATTGTCTATTCAAAACTTGTTCTTTGAATTTCCAGGTATTTTTTTCAAAATTCCAGATAAAAAGAATATTTTAAAGGTTATTTAGTGAACTTTCTAAAATAAATTTCATTATATGTTTTCTAACATTTTTCATTCATACGAAGGTAAAATTTAGAACCTTTTACATTTCAAGTGTTGGATTTATAAATGTACTAAAAATATTGAATAAATTTCGTAAAATGAACATTTTTTATTTGTATAAAATTTTCATTATTCATTAAAAATTATAATAACGAACATATACTTCATATTCGATATTTTGTTAAGATAATGAATATATAAAATATAAATATATATTTAATATATTTTAGAAATATATAATTCATTTGACTTGCCAATTGTTTACGATATTAGGGCAAAATTATCAGAGAATTTTTTAAAAGAAATTCCCAGAGTCTCAATAAAAAATTCCATGAGAGAATTTTCTGATTTTTCCAGATACAAAAGAATCCCAGGTTTTCCATGTTTCTTCAAGGAACAACTACCTTGTAATCATTAATTTTAATTATACCAAGTGATATACATTACAAGGAATTTGTTAAGAAATGTCGATTTTAAAAAAAAAGTTTAAGATCGAGGAAGGTTGATATTTTCTAAAAATGCGGAAAAATTTCATGGTGAGTTATTAAAATTTCAGTATACCTTTAATATTACTCGCACGTTACACATTAATCTCGACTATGAAGAGATGCCCGTTCTTGTGTTGGTAAACTCGCTTGAATGTATTCATATTAAATGTACGCGCCAGAACTTGCGTGAAATATTAAAGATCTAATTCGTCGACTAACGAATTAACTGTACATAGCCAAGTACACGCGAATACCGGGCAAGTTTCGCAAGTGTATCCTCGCCGTAAAACACGGACAGACGGAAATAGTCCCGACAAAACTAGCGAATGAATTTTCACGGAGACAGACTGTGTGTCATTTCGTTTCGATCAAGAATAATGCGACGTGCCTCGGGTCGGATAAATTAATCTGCGATCGAACGGAAGATCAACGACGTATCGAGATATCTTGATATCTCGAGTACGATTTCGCGTTATCCGTGCACACGTATATGGAAGTACGTGGGGTGAGATTTGCTCCGAAATTCGCGTCTTAAATTCTTGTTAGCGAGGCTCTCTCCGGCCACGGCCGCGCGGATTCCATTTACTGATTGGATATGGCATCAGTTATTCATCGCCGCCACTCGAAGGAGAGACCGAGAGAGAGAGAGAGAGAGAGTGAGAGAGAGACGGAGAGAGAGGGGCACGTGCGGCCGTTATAAATACGGCGGATTTCCCGTCGGTATGCTACTGCATTCGGAAATTCTCGACGGGCTTCCCCCTTTCCACCGCCTCCTGTATCACCCTTCCCATCACATCGCTCGCGCACGTCCATGTTTGATCGTCGCACTATCAATAAAAAAACAGGCCTCACGCTCCCCCTCCCCTTCCTTCTGCTGCTACATGTAATTTCTCTCGTATGTACGTACACGGACTAGGGTATACTCGACGAGATTCGTTTTCCAAACCCGAAGAAACGTATTCTTCTCACGCTATACAGGGTGTTTCATAAATGGTGGGCAAAATTTCAGGAATGAATTCCTCATGCTTAGAGAAGAAAAAAAAGTTAATCAACATAGATCCGGAAATGATTAGTTTCTGAGTTATTAAGTTTTTTGTAATACAAAATTTTGTCTCATTTCTCGTCTTAGAAGTCGTTTTACAACAGGCATCAACAATATTTTTCAAGTTCGGCGGCCTGAAAAATCTTAACTCTCAAAAACTAATCATTTCCGGATCTATGTTGATTAACTTTTTTTTCTTCTCTAAGCATGAGGAATCCATTCCTGAAATTTTGCCCACCACTTATGAAACATCCTGTATAAGGATGAGAAAAGTTACGTAATAACTAATACATCGGCCTTATACGTATGGAACATCAAAATTCCCCAAGCGGTTCTTCCTACCTCCTCTCCCTCCCCCGTTCCCCTCGCCACCCCTTCTCCCTGACTTTCTTAGACGGCAAAAATTCCGACATCGTAGATTCACGATAGTTTATAAGAGGACGAAAAGGGAGGAGATCGCGGAGGATATATACGAGGAGCGACGATTCGTATTTAATTCAATCTCCTGACCGTGCAAGACAGAAATAATTAAATCGATATTACACGGTTTTTTTTATACGATTTTTGCTACCTTACGCCTTTATCTCTGACCCGCGTCGTAGAAAAATGAGGAGATTAACGGAAACATTGTGATCGCTTCAAAGGCAAGACAGCATGATAGATAGGGACTCGCGGATCGAAATAGATACGCTTGGCGGAAGAGGCGATCGGAAAGGAGAACGAAGAGCCTTGGGCCTGTGTTTATAGTCTGCGAAAGACGTACCAGCGCAATAAACACTTTCACGAGGCAATATGACGTAGATAAACCGAGCGTACGAATTCTCTATGTTTCTAAGAGAGATACGTGTGGTCCGTTAGCCTTGAGAGGGAAAAAGAAAAGGAGAGAGAGAGACACGCTCGCTTTCTTTCATCTTTACATTCGATCCGTGACGATGCATCCTCGCTGATATTTTTATCGCGGCATTTTTATCCTCGCCCTTCGCCGAAATCGGCTTTGAAAGATACATCGATCGGACGTTAAATTAAAGGCCTCGCGTATAAATTAGAAACGTCAACGGAAAAGAGAGTACGCGCTCTTCCGAGACGCGAATTTAGCGCGTCGTTCCACGTGCTCGCGCGGATTTACTCGATTTTCGTCCGCTTTTCGCACCCGAGCCAAAAAGACCCGCAGTATCGCGGGAGAGGGACGCAAAGAGCGGAATCGAAACGAGCGCGAGATCCGAATCAGACGGGCTCGATGGCCGAGAAATGATCAGCGATGCTGACGTCGGATCGGCGTCGCCAGTTAGTCACATGGGCGCGCGCGACTGAACGACAAACACCGAGAAACACCGGACGATGAGGGGGGTTAGAGGAAGGGGGGGCCGGTTCGCGTCGATCGATCTGTTCGCCGCCGAAAATACATACACGTACGCACGCACACGAGAGAGCGGCGTCGGGACTGCGCGATACAAAACGCGGAAACTGCACGCACCGAAGAGGTCCAGCCGGCGTTCGAGGGAGACAGCGCGGCGGATGGAGAGAGAAGGGGACGAAGGGGGAGAGGATACAGACTACGGACGGACAGGAGAGGATCGCTCGCGGAAATTGTAGCCGTGCAACGATTCCGGGGGCGGAGAGGTTCTCGTTCGTCGAATCATCGTAAACGCGTGTCGTAAACGGCCCCGATGACGTGCGCGCGTGCGATGACCCGCGAGTAATGAAACGCTTTGCCGGCTTCTCGCAATCTACGCGAAACGTATCTCTCAAGTGTCCAATCTTTTTTTTCTTACCATCTCTCCGTCCTTATATCTCCGCCACGCGCGCGTTTACTCGGGGTAATGAAGTCATTAGGTCGAGAGCTCTTGAAAAGCGTTTAACCTTCGTGGCTAAGAATGCGTTCGTTCGATTTTTAGAGAATAGTGTAACAGATATTTTCGCCCCGTTTATCGATGGATTTATTAAAATTACTTAAATATTTATTTAAATGCGTTAGTATGAATCTTGTAAAAATCCGTCTCGCGGATGTGGATTTTCCAAGAATTTCTAACGTGCAGACGTGCGACAAACGTGTAACGGAATGGATTCGCGATAACTGATTTTCTTACGGTAAAATCGATCGAGGTAAAACACAAAAGAGAGCAGAGAAAGAAACACGAGCTCTCGCGCAAAACAAGATCCACCGAGAATATTGATACTCGCGCGTATTCTCGTATCACGAGGCTCATATCACATGCCGCACGCGTCGCGTAACAAAGAGTTGTCGCCGCACAACTATACTCGATCTCCTCTAATCGCGAGCTCAAGGTTACCCGCAAATAGTCGCAACTCATTTTTCAATATCGGTCCGAGTCTCTCTCTCTCTCTCTCTGTCTGTCTCCCTCTTTACGCGACCGCTATTATTTATCCGGGAAAAGAGATGCCACGATAAACGGGTAATCGCAGAGATAAGACGCAGAGATAATTTCCGGGATTAGACTAGTTAGTTGCTCGCAGGAAGTACGATATCGGGCACTCCTAGCTTTTCGAAGGCACGAAACTTCTGGGCACTCGCGAAATCTTTGGAATCTCTTCCCCGCACTTGTGCATCGTGACAATCAATGGATCGAAAAATTCGGCGTAGATAACTCGCTGGAAATCTCCGATGCTCTCGATATAACAGAGTACCACGCGTCAACGAGACAATCTCGTCGCTCTTTCCCACGACGAGAGGATCGCACGTCGCGACGATGTTAACGGCACGGACTCCTGGTATTATCGAGAGAACCACACCAACGTCACTGATATAACGCACGCGCACGATTAACGACGGCCGACTGCGTCGCATCTCGAGATTTTCCACGCGCGACACAAGGAACGGAGAGCAGCGGAGCGGAGCTGAGGGAGCGCGACCCTACACGCTGCACGTCTCGCGCGCGACTGAGGCTCGGTCACCGAGATCCGCTTCGTCGAACCTCGGCCGTTTCCGCGACGGCGGTGGAGGGGGCGCCATCTCCGCGCGCCGCCGCTCTCCCTCCTTCACTCTCTCTCTCTCTCTCTTTCTCTCTCGCTTCTCGTTCCCGCTTCTCCTCATCACCGTCTGGCCGCGCTATTCTAGCCGTCGGTCGTCTCACTCGCACCGACGTCGGTACCGTTGCGTGTCTCGGGGGATGAATAGGAGAGGCTTGGACGAAGTAGCCGGGGAGAGAGACGGCATAACCACGCCAAGAATCTTCCAGGACCACGGTAAATACGAAGAAAGGAGGTTCTGGGACTTTCAGGTTTAAACACAGGGCGAGGAAGCAGACTGACGCGAGTATGCAACCACCGGCTCTTGCTCGGCGGGCACCCCGCAGGCAGGCAGTTTGCGGCGAGTGAAATTCAAGCGAGCCAAATGACGAGCTTGAGTTACGAGCTGTTCCGTTGAGCCAGTCAAAAGGCGACTTTCTAAGCGATATGACGGATGCCCGAGTGTTTCAATCAACGCGCTATGACTGTACATGTGTTGAATACCTAAATAAATATCGCGTTTTTTATATATTTTTTTTCATATTTTAGAAGGTACCATTGTTAATCCTTAAAGGTCACGCATCTTTTCAATCTCGTCGCTTTGTTCTTGATCGCATATGAATCGCACTCTCGTGCAGCTGTCTCTCAAGCTGTCTCTTGAAAAAATCCACAAATAAAATTCCTTGATATTCGTGTATAAAAAATAATCATGTATATCAAAAGTTAAAAAATAAATTTTAAATATAAGGATATAACTTTCTTTATCGATTAATTTCCCCGGGATTCTCTTGTTAAAATATCGATATCAAAATGATCCAGATGTGACCGAAGAAATTTTTTTTAAATATAATTATTAATGTAATTATTTAATATAATTATTAATAGCGGTGCAAAATAATCATATAAATTACAATTAATAAATTGCCATTATTACTACGCGATGCGCAGGTGTAAAAAAAATTAATGTCGTGCACGAAATAAAAAAAATTGAAGGAGGAGATAGTGAAATTTGCCCTCGCGTCGAGATGAAAATTTCACTATCTGATTCTCTCTCCGGAAGTCGACTACCACCCCGATGCTTAAATTAGTGGCTAAATTAGAAATCGCCCGGGCGTCTCCGCGAAACGGGAGACTGCGCTAATGCGGTCAACTAAAAAGCTAACTGAAGAAGTGGTAAGTAGACACTAACACTTCCGGGCGAGCGACTCGATATCGGCGGGGATGGTCTCGCCTCGGCTTTAGCCCCGAATTAATTCCTCGAGGGTGGCCGGGCTCCCTCCATTACCGCCGCTGGAACGAGCGGCAGTAAAGTGTTCCGCCTTAAAAAGAATACGTGTACCTTCATCCTGACGCCTGTAGCAGCGCTTTTCTCCGCTCTTTCCCTCCTCTTGCCCCCCTCGTCTCCCTTTTCTTCTCCTCTCACGATACAGAGTTGCTCGAACATTTCAAGAAAAGTCCAGGATTTCTTCCGGGCTTCACGTCCTGCATCAGAAAGTTACATTGTTTTATCTATTTTCTTAAAGCGACGGAGGAATCAATCGCGTTCTCTTTTTCACGGAAAAAAAATATTGCACCGAGAAAAATGCTGAAAAATGATCGGAATGCGCTAAAAAAAATTATGAAATTTGTTGAACATTATTTTTGTCACAATACGCCTTCCTCATCCATTTAGCTCTTCGATTGTACTCGAATTTCCTACGAATTTAGGCTTCAACAAACAAGGGAGCGTCTCTCCTCGGCGTTGTAGCAAAGCGTTAATCACGTTTCCGAGCGTAACTGCTTCGAGGCGAGTCAGGCTAGGAGAATTTACCGGAACAAAGTTTCGTTATAGGTCAGGTATGTCGCAGTTGGTCTCCAAGGCTGGCTCAGCCTTCGAGAAGGATCAACTACCGGCGAAGGAAAGTCGGCAAGTCACATACACAAAGGCGTTTTTTTTCTTCAAAGCGACTTCTTTGGTTTAAACAGCCGCATAGACATTGGACCCACGTCGAACTATTATTCTGCGTCCATAAGGAGTAAAACTAATTATACTTTATACCGGTGGCCTTCGTCGTCTATGGCAGCTGTTTCTGTCCGCATTTCTGCACGAATACGAATACGCTAAAACGATTATCAAGAAATTAGAATGCCATCTTTGGAGCATCCTTGGATGGTACAGAATTTTCAAGCTCTCAAAAATGTGTATAAATAAAAAAAATATAAATATGTCGGAATATTCTCTCTCTTTTATGTCCTAGATATCGTGGAAGTAAGAAATGTATCGGCGGAAAAAGTTGGAGAGAAAACAGAAAATTATCTCTCGCGACTCCTAAGGTTCTCCTCGAAAAATGATAACGTCAGAATATGGCACCGGCAGACTCTCTCTGTCGCGTCAAGTCTTCAATTTATTACCTCGTATTATCCGATGTCGTATTGAATATTCGATGCACGAGTGATCTCGGTGGATGAAGAAAGAGAGCACCGGGCGGCGGATGTTGAGCGGGCGAAGAGATCGATACGAGCCAGCAGCGAGATACCCGCGAGTTCTATATAATCGTAGAAGAGAAAGAGAGGGGGGGAGAGAGACAGAGAGGCAAGAAAAAGAGGAATGAGCGGTGTGTAGAGTACTCGCGTCCGCTCGCACAAGCCGAGATAAAAGCGTTTACGGGGAAGTAATGGGATGGTTCACCGACTGGGGCGTGGTGGGTACCATCGCCGCGATATATACGAGGGTCAAGGTTAACGCGAGAATCCCATATGCCGACACGCTGGTTGATGCTACACGCGTATCAAGTACTCTCTTTCCTTTATTTACAGCGAGAGGAACGGAAAAGTCTCTCGCGAAGCTCTCACACTTTGTGTTTGTTTCCTGTCTATAATAAAATAAAAGCGGATTTTCCTCGGATTTTGCAATTCGCGAACTTCCCTCACATGCCAATTTATCGCGTATATTTATTTGTTTATATGTCAGGGTGTTTCTTAGTAAGCGAGAAATTTTAGGAGACGATTCCTTGTCGAAAATTAAGGGGGATTTTTCGCACGTATTAAGAAACACTCTGTATATTTATATAAGCGTGTGTGGATAATTTCAAAATGTTGAAATAAATATTAATTTTTTTCTCAAATTTATTATTATTAATTATATATAATTAATTAATAATTATATAAATTATATAATTAATTAATTTTGTATATTTATAGCAAATTATATATTTAATATGGTTAAGTAGTCTCTGTGTAACACATTGGATTATTGCCGACTTGCTTATCTTATGACGAAGAATATACAGTGTAGTATTCGTGATTGATACCGCACGAAATCCTGACGAATATAAATGTAATAAAAGATCGAGCATGTATACTTATGACACTCAAATCAGAGGACAAAGCACGTTTATGGCGAACAACGGGAAACAGAAAGAGGATGATTCACCTTCGATAAAGGGAGCTTGCTATTGTTACGAGGGTCAAGGTTAAAGAGGCAGATCCACATGCGGTGCATTAGCTCAATCCGCATGTGTGCAGTTTTCTCTCGTTTCCACGATAAAGTCTGAACTTTCCAGAAAAGCTTCAGTGAATTTCAATGAATCTCGTGAAAGCCGCATAAATTTCATACAGAAAAATATTTTCCATTTTTTTAATTTTCAATTTTGGCGAGTTCCAATGTTGAAAATACAAACAATGGAAAGATTTCTTTTACTCTTGCATCAAGAATTAGATAAAAATAAAAAATTCTAACAGCTATCTTCTCTTATTCACGCCTTTTAAGGAGGAAACATTTTATATGTTATGCTTATATGCGATAGGCACTATCTATGCTCTTTGTAAGAATTCCTGGAGCTGCACTTAGGGGATCCTATCTATGTTCTTGTTTGACAAGTTCTTTCTTTCGTTAACGGATATTTATGGAAATTACGTTATCTCGATTCAATATCAACGAAAATATGTATTTAGTTGTTTTTTCTACAATCTTTATATAATTAGACAACTATATCGTACAATACTTAATTATTTCAATATCGATGTATGATCAATACACTGAGAAAAGTGGTTTGATTGTATCAACAAGACGCGTATCTAATAGAAAGTTAAACCAGAAGAGCAGAATTTCTAATTATCACAATAAGACTCGATTTTTTATAAGTAGGACGTTTAATTAATTTTACTACAAGGATCTGATTAATATTTTCTAGTTGGATCTAGTCTATTTTTTGTTATATTACCTAAACGTAGACATAATGATGCCATTTTTTAAGTAAATTTAAGTAATTTTAAATATTATAATATTATAAAAAAATTTGATAAATTTAACAGGAAGGAATTAATCATACTTATTTGGTAATTCCTAAAGGAATTCTGATTCCAACAGACATACTGATTGAATCTACCAGATTTCTAATTAACGCAATCAGATTTTTTTCTCAGTGTATGATTCGTTTAAGAAAGAATACAATCATACCTGATATTAAGCAAGATCTCTCACGAGATTTGCAAGAAACGAACGCGTGCAGATTTTATATCCAGACTAAACTTTAATCCCCATTATCCGAAAAAACTCTACTCTTAACACGCGATGTCATCTCTCTGACGCTCCGAGCGAAACTGAGCGCTTGACTCTCTCGAACTTGAGAATACGGTCTAGGTAAACGTGTCTATTGTTCGACTTTGGTCGATGTTTGTAAACTGGTGTATATCTCATTCAATCTTCCGTATGCAATGCTAATGTAAACTTCGACCCTGACAAAAAAAATGACAACAAAGGTCGCTCTTATAACACGTTCGTTAAAAGACAGAAGTATGAAATGTTTCAAGCCTATTTTCAGCCTTAAAGTAATCCCGGAAAGTAGCTAACGTCCACGAATCCCGAATGGCGAATAGCGTATCGATTATTGATATTATAAATAGAATTTTCATCGAATCTGTTGAAAGCGAAAGTACATCAGAATTAGATCACCGATTCGTTTGTGACGTTAATTAAATGCAAATAGGATTAATCACGTCCGAATGAACGGTATCGGGCACAGATATGGCGGATGATTCAATCGAGGATTCACACACGGGCGATAATTTATACTAAACATAAAAAAAAGAAAAACGATAAATTGACTGCTTTATATCTATTTCGTGCTAATGAGGAGGGTAAAAATGGGCAAAAATGGGCAAAAATTCGCTGTTGCGAGGACAAATACAATCTTCGATCTTCCTAACCGCAGCCAATATCCCGGTGGTCCCGACGAGGATTCGAATTTTGCGGTAAATAACGCGCAGATTTGGTCCCGCGATACCCGCGACGATGTCGCCACGCGCTGATTGCCGCAAGAACTCGCGGAGAATAATAGCGATTTCCCAAGTCGACGTGGAATTCCTTAATGAGCCTCTCCTGGGCCTAAGAACGAGACGGCAAGTCATTGCGACGAGGGAAAAAAAGAAACAAAACGATAGAGACGATAGAAATTAGGACGCCGTAAAAAGAAGTTGGAGAAGTGTATTTTTTATTCATCGATTTAATCTCCCTAGTATACGTCTTAATTCGTAATAAGCTCCAATTAAAAATTTTTAACAAGATTAACTAGTCACAATAATCAAAACTAAATATTGAAAATATTAGTAAGACAAGTGCGTTTATAAAAATATTTGGTAAATGTATAACGGAAATTTATTACAGCTCGTTAATTAAAATTAAAGAGAGCTTGGACGAGATATTTTATTACTGTCTTTTTCAAAATATGACGTATTATTCGTAATATTTTCTAAAAAATGGAAGCTGGGCTTTCATTTATAAATTTCATTCATAAACGCAATTTAGTTGCGAGACGCGAATAATTACCCTGGCGTTAAATTGATACTCGTATCTTAACGCTGTACACACACGTTGCATGATCCGTACAGGTGCGAATGCATCGTCGATGAGGATATAACATCCTTCTCAAGGACTCTTAGTTAAACCTCCGCAACCCGGTAAATTGAAATTATTGGCACGGGCCACCGCACATTATTGTCTCGTTATCGGGACATCGCATTTGTGAGCCCAGCCCTTCACTTTAATGCTCTCTTCCATTCCTCCTCGATGTTTCTTTTACCCGGTTCAATTTCAAGATCGCAATTTTACGCTTTCGACTACCGTGTATTTCATTTTTATATCGATATCAATCATTCAAGTCTCAATTATTTGTTAAATTAATATCAATGACTCGCCGTTTCTTTGTAAGATCTCCGAAGATCTTATCGACGAAATTTGTTGGAAAAATTTCGCCTTCGATATACAGAGTGTATCGAATTTCATCGACGAAATTCACTAAGCAAATTATTATCGAGCGTGTCCGCTATTTACGGTAACGGGACCCGCCTTTATCTCGATCTAATTCATACTTATCGAGATGAACGAGGTGTTATTTATCGCGTGGTTAAAAATAGCTATCAGATAAGACTCAAGTTCAACTACACTGAATATCGTCTATTTTTCATGGATATTTGCGTCATATTTTTTTCTATTTCAATTAAATGTATTTTGTCTGTTACATCATTATCGCTTTATTACATTAATCGAATTAACTTCAAAATGTTAATAAATATCATATGTATATTTTTTTCCCACTTTAATGATGAAGAAGGCGAAAAGTGTAATACCCTCAAATGCATGACTCTCAGAATCCATGAATGAATTTTGGAGGATCCTTTCATCAGAGCTTCTACTCTCGCATTCGCATTTTATTTCCGCTTCGCCGCGATTTCTCGCAATTCGCGCCGCTCCTTGAGTCGCGGGAGCGTCGCTTTTTTTCATCCTGAATTATCTTAATTACCGGAGTCCTCGGTATCGGGGAGGGGTAAGTGGTTTTGACGTGGCGCACGTTGTCGTCAACGCAGACAGATAGGTAGATGAAGGGAGAAGCATTAATTTCGGTGGGAGAGAAAAGGCAACCGAAAACGACGACGACGATCTCTGGGAGCCATCATTGGATAGATAGTAAGAGGAATCCGGAAGAGTCCTAGAGCCGGCTCCTTTGATGGTCCTTTGTCGTTCTATTGATTCCAACGAATCTTACAGGAGACAAGTCATCAGGAAACCTGACCATTTGCAAGGAATATCGCGTTGGTTATTTCGATCGCCGCCATAGATAGCTTGATTAATCCGATAGCTAAATCTCTCTAGCGCGATTCGTATTAAAGTTTTATATTTTATTACATTTTATTTTATTAGAATTTTATTTCATAAAGTTTTTACGTATACATGGCATAACCTGATGCAAACGAAAGAATTAATATCTCATGTAAAATGTTGTTTGACGCGACATTTTCATCAGCGATATTTTGAAATGATACATAACTGTAATTTTTAATTACGTTACTGATTGAGCGAGTAATTTTACGGCCATTAATAATTTTATAACGATCAAGGATCTCATCGTCGAAAAGTGATATTGCGGTGTCACAATTAATCCCTAATTGAACTCTTATTAAATTCTCAATGACCGGCGATATTTTGCTCGGGGAAATTTAAAAACAGTGGCGAGTATTAAAACTAGGGGGAGAGGATAACGATCGTATCGCGAGATGGAATGAGCGAAAAACTCATAAAGGTGGTAAATACGCCGAAAACGGCTAACGACGTCGCTCGCAACAATGGCAAGAACTCTTTTGCCGCGGTAATCTTCAATTCCATTAAATCTCGGCGTGGTGTGCGGAGATGGCGACCAGGTGTTCACCATTTGCCGATTTACGAAAGCGCGCGTACGTACATTCCTTTACCTGGACCGGTTTCAGGACGCTTTTTCTAGCCGCTCTTGCGTCGCGGATGGGAGGAAAAAAAAAGGAAGAGGATGTCGCGGGCTTTCTCCTCCCGGATTCACTTAGGTGCGTACCTACGCTCCTTCACAGGATGCGTTCTCGCTCGTTCCGTTCTCTCTTGCCCGAGGAAAGAAAGGAAGGCCAGAAGGATTCCCTCTTTTCTCGCTCATGGCGCATACATGCGCCAGCTTCGAGCTAGTTTCTTTTCCATGTATTCTCGGCGAGCGTGAAAGAGCTCCGACAAGGCTAGGCTCTCTCTCTCTTTTTTCTAGTTACCTTCGAGCCGGATACTTTTTTGCCAGAGTCGCTTTTACGCGGCCCCATATGGAATAAATCTTACCTGCGCCTGTTTTTGTTGCTTTTCCGGTTATTCGGTTAATTTATGTTTTGATTGAAATCCCGTACACACACATACATACAACGTTGATTATAAAAGGTAATTGAAAGGAAGATTGAGCACAAGGATGCAAGCATCAAGAGGTTTTCTAGATATAACAGCCGAGGTATTTCAATCTCGTAAACCTCCGCTTCTGAGATATTCGACTTTTTTAAATTAATTTTAAGTAAACTCTTTTAAAGGAATTTTCCATTTAAGATTTAATCTTATATATATATATATATAATAAAATATATAATTTGGAAGAATTATAGAAAGTTGTTGCGCGATGCAACGATATCTTTGGACATTTTCGCTGAGCAAATTGGCTCGAGAAAAGAAATGTATGCGTTAGAACAGTTCATGTACAAACGTCTGGTTAAGTTAAACTTTCTCAAGGTGTTCGTTAACTTAGTTTCTCGTCGGAGAAGAAAAGAAGGAGCGATTCAAACCAGGTGCGAAAGCTGAAAGTTTCAACACGAGAGGCGACACTTTGTTGAGGCCTCGCGGTTGAAACCGTTTGGTCGAAAGGGTCAAAGGTGATTGGGGTCTGGTGAACGTACGAAATGCTAATAAGCCGTCTATTGTATTCGAATGTGATATTATGTCGCGATCTTCTTTTTCCTGTGGACATACGAGAAAAAAAAATCCTTGATGTGGAATAGCGATTTCTTCTTTGAAAAAGAAGCGAAACGCGCTCTAGATCTTCTCTTCGTCTTGAAAGATCTATTTGAAATTATAATTCGGCCGGAAGTGTTTTTATAAGTGTATGGGAAACGACGAGCCTTCCCGCGCATTCTTAATATTTATCTTCTTAATCCTTCAGCTAGATATTTTTTAATAATCGTCAGTTATGAAAAGAAGTCTGCGGAGAAGGAAGTATAAAGTCGTAATCGTAAACTTTTCATGGCCAATTATCTCTGTAAAGCAGCCGGGAACGAATAAATCAAGTCGAATATATATCGTGCGAATCTGTGCACATTAAAAAAAAAAGTACGTTTACATGAATTTTCTAAAATGATGCTGCTAGAAATTGAAAGCTTTGTACAATATTTAATATAATATTATTATTTTATAATTTATTATTTTAAGAAAATTTTTATATTTCTCCAAAATACACGCACAACAATATTTTTATACATATCTTAAAGTGTTAATAATCTATATGTATTACTAATATTGTAAAACGGAAAAAAAAATTATGAGAAAGATATAAAAATATTCTTACATTTATTGTGTCACATTTATTTGCACGATGTTTCGTTAGCTCAACGTTTTATGTGAAATATTTTCTGTTCGCATGCTTCAACTTTGTGCGGTTGTACGTTGTTTCAAAAGTTTCAAAATGGAAAATGGGCGTTTATCATGCGAGAGAAGAGCAAATCCCTCGGCCTTCTTTGTGCGCGCGGATTGTTACTAACGAATTATAAAATGCGTTAAAAGGTCCAATTGTTGAAATCTCAATTACGTCGGTTCGTTCGGTGTCGTACTTTTTGTTATAAGAGCCATCGACTTTCCGTTCACCGAGCAAAGCGTTGCATGTCGTAACAATATTTTGCGAATGAAGAAAACGTAAACAAGAGGCGGCGTCCGATAACACGAGATTAAATATGAATAATAGCTGTCAGTTAATTGGTAATAACGTTGAATTCTTTTTTACGAAATTATAATATATTACGCGCGAGATGCACAACAGCGACACACTGTTTAATCCGTATGCAACTCTCTCTGTGCAGCGAAATTTAATTACATCAAATAAATATTTATATCTGTTCTACTTGTGCACGGTGGTAAAACTTGATATCGCACGAGAGATGTAATTTTAATTGGCTCGCTTTAAAGTACTATTTTTTTTATTCGTTTCACCGCATTCGCCGGATTCATCTTGTTTATTTATTTTCTTACGCTCTTAAGAAAAATATAACGAGCAAAGCTCTATCACAATGACGCAATGTTTCTTCGTATCGCTAATCCTATATATATGTATGCACTATGACGTAAGCGTGCGACATGCATATAATGTTGGAGAGTACATGTAAAATAATACAAACATTTCGTCTTAAAATATCTTTAAAAATATCTGAATGAAATGAAATAAAAATTTAATCTTAAATTATTATTATTAAAACTGGATATATTAAAATATTTCTCACTTCGATTAAAATTGCAAATTAAATTATTATAGAAATATTATTCTTAGCATTTAATTAATATAATAAATATAATAAAATATAAAATAATAAAAAAATAATAAAAGAATAATAAAATAAATAAAAATAATAATAACACAATAAATATAATAAAAACGTAAAATAATATAGGATATAAATAAAGAAGAATAATCTAAATTAGCGTCGATAAATTAATGTCAGTAAAATCTATAAATATAAAAGCGAACATTAACGTTTGCGTGTTTGAAGAAAAGAAAATTCTAAATAAAACGAGTCGCTCTGCGTCTCTCGCTGCGCTCTTTAGGGTTCATAAAAATAGATCCTCATACAAGAACGCCGCTTCGCGTCTCATTCGCATCTGCCTCATTCGACGATACAGTGCCATTGGCACTCAGCTCGATCAGGCTCTCGCAAGTCGCGCGAGCGGATTAAACGATACGACACGGACGATGCGATTACAAATGTAAATGCGCCACTGCGCGACCAGACGTTCCTACTCCCACGTCGGATTGACCCTATCTTTGTTCATCGCGTCGACGATGACCCCATCCCCTTCCTCTCCCTCCTTCCGCCTCTGCCTCCTGCTCGAGCGACGCGTTATCGTCGATAGAGATATATGCGACCGTCGTCGTCGATCGAAACGATCAGGTCGCGCCGGCTACTTTCGGGAATTAATTCAATTAATGCACCGACTGCCCGGATATTAGCGCCGCGAGGCTCGATTGAGGATCGAGCGCGTCCGGTCCGGGTATATAAATCAGCCACGAGACATCGTCAAGAGCATCGTGCGAATGCTAGACCCTCCCCCCCCTCCCCCCGAGTCGATCCGAAATTTAGGTTTACGTGGGCATATGGTAATATCAAGCACGTGACTCGAATCATCGCGCATCGGGTTTTACAACTGATGAGAAAGATTTAATTTCCTTATGTGTGATAAAATTCTTACAAGTTTTTATTTACATACCTGCGTGTATGAACTGCAATTTCCATCTCGATCGACTAATTTCATATTTCTTTGGATTCTGCGGATCTTCTTTAATTTTCACGACACATATCTGAAAGGAAAAAAAAAACAGGAAATTAGAAAAAAATTTTTCTCCTTTTACACTCGTTATTAAATTTATTTATTTTTTTTAAACTGTTTTATTAAGTATCTAATGGAGATACTTGAGAGACAATATTAGAATCAATAAAATATAAAAGATGGTCGTCGACATAAAATGCCCTCGAAAGCTAACGTAAAGTCATTTTTATTCATACTTTTCGTTACGATGCAATAGCGGTATCCTCGTTGAGGATACAATTAATGATACCGCGGATTGCAAGTGCAGCGGCGTAAGTAGCATCGTAATGGAAGTAATAATAGTAATGGCGTGTGTGTGCAACGCCGAAAGAAGTGCTTGGCTTCACCGCGAAAAGAATTAACTAGCTGGGGCTGCAGTTAACGTTTCACCGGTGCAGTAAGAAAATAATACATAATACCCGGTTTCGCGCGCGTACAAGGAAAAGGCGAAATCGCTTGCGTAAGAGCCGAGGCTTAATTAAAATTGACAAACGACCGGCAATCGTCGGCGAGCAACTTCGTTATAGCGGCAAAGTTTCCTTTAATTCGCCAATTAATACGTGATTCGTGTGCTTCCGCTCGAGAAAGGGGGCGCGGGACTCTGTCGGAAGAATCTACGATAATAATCGAGAGGAATATCTCGATAATTCACTCGGTTTTTTTCAGTAACTTCCTCGATCGGCTTGCGCTTATTATCGATATTATCGATATTTTATAATCTGTTGCTTTAATAATCTGATTTAATTGCATCGTTAACGTGGAAATACGCGTATCTCGATCGTTGCAAGCCGAAAGAGTGCGAAATAAAGGAGAAAGTGTATTGTGCGAGCCTCGGATGCGTAGGCGGACACAATCCTCTCTCGAAAGCGGACGACATGAAAGTGCAAAAATATCCGATCGGGAGCTATTTCGTCCAGGAGTTCCTCTCTCGCGAGAAGAAGGGAACATACACGGTTGACCAGGAGCGTGAAATAATCTTATTAACCAAAGTGTATCCGATCGTTTAAAGTCGACCGGCGGTTTCGCTATCGCCAGAATGGTTCTGTTTACTCCCGCTTTCCACCTCGTCCCCGCTCGTCGTTTTGCATACTCGAATGGACCCGGGAGTGTTCCCGAATCCATTAACTGACGGTCCGGGTCAAGTTTACTTAAGACCACGGAACCGCCGTGAATCTGCCAAGAAAGCAAAAAGCTTTATTAGACAGTGACAAAGTGAGAACGGCGGTTTGCGCCAGGGAATCATAATGAGGAACCAAGAAAAGTCAGGTTACGATGAAAAATCGCCTCGCATCGCCTTTGAGAATAGTTGAACGCGGAACAAATAATTCCTTAGTAAAGTCGCGCGATCGATAGGTATATTTTTCTTAGTAACTAATTTCAATCGCATCTTGTAATTTACGATAGCCTATCCTTAGTGTCTTTTCAAATCTTGGAAAAAATGTTCCCTGAAAATTCCCTCATGACAAGCTATTTCTTTTATTCAAAATTCCAGATTAAAAAATTAATAGTTTAGAGATTTTTTTTATGCAACTTTCTAAAATAGGTTTTTTTAATGAGTTTTCTAATGTCTTTCATTCGTAGGAAAAAATGCAGAGCCTCTTAAGTTTCAAGTGGTAGATTTATAAATATACTGAAAAAATTTGGAAGTATTTTTTATTTGCATAAAGTTTTCATTTTTCTCATCACTAAATGTTATCAATAAAAAATATGTGCTGCATATTCAATATTCATAATATATTTTAAACATGTAATTCACTTGATTTGCCGAATGTTTATAATATAAGGACAAAATTATCAAAGAGAGGATTTTTTTGAAGAAATTCTCCCAGTTTAAATAAAATTTCATGACAATTCCTTCATTTTTCAGATAAAAAAGAAATCCTTGGAAATTTCAGATTTTCCAGAGAGTAGACACTCCAATTTTCTATATTAAATATCTTAATTAAATACCGAATTTTCGTGAATCGAGCTCGACAAGCACAGTTTCCGAAGACGGACATCTTTCGTGGACAATTACAATTTCATATTTTTATGAACATGACGTCATACACACAACAGAATGTACGGAACGTTTGTGAATGTATACTCAGAATAAATAGCCGTTAAATGCTGCTGAGCTGCTGAGCTTGTTGGAAAATTTAGCTTTAAGATATCTGCTGCAGAGCCGACTTTACGATGTATAGTTTACTCGAGACTCGGGTATTACGCGGGAAAGATCCCGGCAAACCGCCGCGACGAGTATCTCGAGTCGCGACATCGATATAAGACGACTAACGAGGCATTTCAAAGCGCGATTGTCTACATCAAAGTTGCGCGATAAGGATCAAAGTTCTATCGAGGATCTCTTACCGTTATCGTCGCGCGCAGCATCTCTCATTTTCCGCGCATACAAAATTACTCCGCATTGTCTTTCTCTCTTTTCGAGGCAAATGCCTGACGATTATTATTTTAGCTCCGTTGCAACTGTGCAACGCATCTTAAAATAGAAGTCCTTCCTCCCCCTCCTACCTCCCGCTTCCATTTGCTCCTCGGAGAGGGAGGAGAGTGAGAGAGAAATAAAAGTAAATCCAATTAGAACGATGTTTTAAATACGATTTAAATTAATTCCGTGATGTAACTTTTAACGTAGCGTACACGATATGATATTCTAAATAAAAATTTCTTTTTCTAAATATTTCACGTAAAGAGAGAGAGAGAGAGAGAGAGAGAGAGAGAGAGAGGGAGGGAGGGAGAGGGAGAAAAAGAGAGATAGAGGCAATCTCGAGCCTTTCGCGATCTCGATTTTGTCTTCATTACTTTTTCATGTCTTGTGTAATATAAATGTAAATTTGCGCTGCAGACGTATCGTTAGTGATGAATGATATTTTTATATTTGGCGTTTCCTATCGCTTGCTAGAAAATTTTTCCACGACCGTAATAATCGGGCGAAAGCGCTTCCGCTATCGCGCAGATTCTTCGTCGTCCTTGGATCACCGATCATGCGACAACCGCCATGGTAAAGTCAATGTTTTCGGAATGGATGGACATGAAGATGGAGTGGCCGGGAACAGACGAAGACGGAAATGTAGACAGGGACGGAAGCGGTTACCATGGCTACCATGGAGAGGAAAGAGAGCAGGCGGATGGAAGGTTGAAGCGAAAGTGCAGGCGAGAGGAAGAGCGACCAAGGGGTGAATGAAGAGCTACGATACATAGGGTGGACTGAGAAAAAGAGAGAGAGAGGGAGAGAGAGGGAGAAAGATCCGGGGGAAAAACGAAAGAGAAGTTACGATCTGAGGGATGCAAAGAGAGCGAAAGAACAGAAAGGACAGGAGAAAAAAAGGAGATAGGACTCGGGAGAGAATAAACGAGAAGATATTACTCGGAAAGCAGACAAGAAGAAAGACTGAGAAAAAAGAAAATAGCGACGAGACAAATACACGACGACGGTGCAGGTTTATGGGTGTCAAAAGGGATGGTGGTAAAAGTAGGCAAATCATGAGAAGACAATGCTTCGAAGGAAAATGTTATCAGAAAATACAATTCGAAAGATATAGACAAAAGGTGCTATTCGGATGTCTCGAAATTATTACTACGACACAAATGCATATTAGTGACATATACATATAATTACATTATCAGTCATATTATTCTAAATATTAAATTATCCTATATCAACAATTATCCTATATTTCCTCTCGAGATTCGCCAACAATAAGGCGAAAAATTGAAACTTAATTCTCAGGACAATTAATTTATTATTATTGTTTCAATTGTCGGGAAAGAGGGAGGGAGGGAATTGCTCATTATAACCCTTTCGCATTCGGTTCTGAAATATGCGTAAATCGACGCTGCCAAGAGAGACAGAGATAGATGTACACGAGCTGGAGTAGGACGACCGTCAAAAACGGGGCACGGAGGGAAAGGGGTGGCGGGTGGGGGTTAGAAACGACTGACTGGGAAAACTATTACTCTCTCTCCCGATCCTCCCCGTCGTCTTCAACCCCTTCGCCACGAGTCGGACGGAGGGCTCGGAGCCCCGAGTGATGTTAATTGCGCTGCTACCGCCAGCAGGCAATATGTATCCGAGGAACGCTCTGAACATTCGAACGAAGACGACTTGTAAACGCCACGTATTCGCGCAGTCTCTCCTCCTTTCCCGCCCCTGAAAAGTAACGCTTCCGGGGCGATCAAAGTGGACCAAACTTGCGCGCGATGGATACGCGTGTCACGAGTTTCGATGGATAGTCGATTTGTATGGTAATTTTTTTCGCAACTATGTTTCGTGTCTAACTTGACGTTTCGCGAATATCGTGATGTACGATGCAAGTCACGAGCGAGAAATCGCGCGATAGCTCGAGGGTGAAAAAAATCACTTGTACTTTTTCTTTTTTTTTTATTTTTTTATTGTTCCCCTCTAAGCCTGACGACATCATCTTATTTTCCGAAAATGTCTATTTGCAATGGGGAAAAAAGAAGCGATGGCCCGCGGGGACGCGATAATGTTGAAGATAGCGGAAAATCCGTGATATTAATATAAAAGGACCGGTATGTGAAAAAGCGTGTCGGTTATAAATTAAAGCCGGCGTGAAATATATGTCATAATTTTTTGACCTTTAAATTGGACGGGATATTTCACGAAATTTTTATTCCGACAAAATACCGTGCTATCTTTTCCGAATGTTATTTCTCTGATTGTGATAATACACAAGCAACATTATCTTTTTTACGATTGAATCCTCCCCGCCCCGTTCCTTGAATCTCGATTTATATCCATGGAAAATTCGTCCCATTTCCGGTCACGAAAAGCCAATGTCACAATTTCGCTAATGGAATCGCTAACGCACCATGTACGGCGACAAATAAATATACCTGTTTAAATGACCGTAACAGAGAACGGCGATTTTAATACCAGTTGAATAATTTCCATTTCTGTGGTCAGATGCGAGAATATGACATTCGCTGCGATGAATTGAGGCAAAAGAGTTTAATGCCGGTAGTTAATTTCGTTTT